CTGCTCCGGCTGCCGCATTGCAACCTCCTGGTCAATACTCTCGAACCGCGAGTCGGCTTTTGATGTCGTCTTCTGCAGGAACTCTTTGGATAGTGCGTCCAATCGGGCGGCGACTTCTCTCATGCGCGGGCGCGAGGAAGCAGGCATGCCGGTGCACTGCAGTGCGAGCTCGACGACCTGCCCAAGCAGCCAGCAGGAACGCTTGGTTAGTGTACCTCTCAACTGACAACTAACTCCACCCAGAAAGCTACATGGAAATCATTCTCGAGAATTCTCAAAAGTGATTTCCATAAACCAGACCCCAGTAATGCTTCTCAACTGACAGATAACTCCACCCAGAAAGCCAGCTGCCCTGGGCAGAAAAAAAAAGGCGCACGGGGGAAGGAACAGCTCACTAGGAACAAGCTGCTATTAGAAAACTCAAGAAAAACAGCAGCAAAAAAAAATGAGAATAGCATTTAAACCACCATCTCCGGTACCTGCAAGAGCAGCTCGCTAGGAATGCTGGCGAGATGAGGGTCCTTGAGGCCTTGGGTGTCTCGATCTTGCACGAGACGGGCAGCCTGAAAGGAAAGAAATAAAATACTTAAAAACATGAAAGATTTGGGGCAGGTTTGTGTTTGCTAGGTAGAGGGTGAATGGGATGTGCGGGAGGAAGAATTCACAGGTACTGTGCCGAGTAGAGGGTGTATACTTCTGAAAAGAAGACGCATCAGATGCTTATAAGAACACTGTACTGTACACACTACAAGATGAACAATGGCATGAACTGCGCTCACTACATGTACTGAACTGTGCTCACCCAGTCTTTGATGCTGGTGTTGATGCCCTTTTCTTCCACCACAGCAGGCCTCGTTAACATGACCTTCGAGGCGCCTCAAAAATTGCATGCAGTGTTCTCATCACATGAACTGTAGTGTGCTCACCCAGTCTTTGACGCTGGTGTTGATGCCCTTTTCTTCCACTACAGCAGGCCTCGTTAGCATGACCTCTAGCATCAACACGCCAAAGCTGGAGGACAATATGGGGGATTCATGGCCTCAAAGAATTGGAATAAAAGAAAAAAGGCCTCACTGCAGGCCTCGTCAGCATGACCTCGTCAGCATGACCTCTAGCATCAACACGCCAAAGCTGGAGCACACATGGGGGAATTCAATTCACAACATAAGAAAAGCCCTGCGGACAACTGCAAGTCTGCAGCTTACTTTTGAGTCGACTCAAAAGCTCTCAGAAAAGCCCTGCGGACTTCAAGCTTTACAGCTGGTAGTCTGCAGTAATCTTTACAGCTCTCAGATTACTTACCCCTTTCACCCCCCCCCTCTTCTCCAACCTCCTGCACATCGGCCAGGGAGAGGGGGCGTGGTATTGATTCTCTGCCCCCGCATTGATTCTCTGCCCCCGCAAACAGCTGACCTGACCACCCATCTGTGCATGTCTCTTCCCTCAAACACCTACCTATGCACGTCAGCCATGGGCGTGGCCTTGTTGGTGCGCGAGTAAGCAGGGTCCACATAGCCCGGAGTGCCGACCACTCGGGTGGGATTCACTGTGGTGCCCTCTGTCATGCGCACCAGCCCGAAATCCGATATCTTGGGCTGTCATGGCATGGGGGCGGGGAGAGATCAAACACAAAAATGCTGCTGTCCTGCGCACCGGCCCGAAGTCCGATATCTCTGGCTGGTGGGCGATGGGGAGGAGGAAAGGAGGGTGGAATAAAGGCAGATGTGACTCCGTCTTGCTGCGCACCAGCCCAAACTCCAACACCCTCGGCTGTGGGAGGGGGGGGAGTGGGATGGGAGATCGTTGATGGAAGCAATGGAAAGGGGTATTCTAAAATCATTCACACCCTTGTCAAGCAGCAAACCACAAATTAAAGCCAAAAGTCTCGGGTTCGAATCCCAATGTGCGCCAAGTGAGCGCCAGTGTCTTAACGAGGCCCAAGCGAAGGGAAGACAACTCTAGTTAAGGGGATATTGTTGGTGTGGCATGAGAATCGTACTTCACTTGAGTGTGGGAGTGCTGCAGGTGCGTCTTAGGGGGTAATGGTCGGTAGCAAGCTGGCCAAACAAGTGGTATCAGAGCCACAGGTATCGAATTCGTCCATACGAATTACTCTTACCTGCATGCGGGCGTCAAGCAGCACGTTGGCGGGCTTGATGTCTCGATGCACGATGTCAAACTGGTGGAGGTACTCCAACCCCCGTGCCACCCCCACCAGCACGTCCATGCGCTGCTGTAGCGTCAGCTCGCCCTTTTTGGGCCCTGATGGTAGTAGGATGAAGATAATAAGGGAAATATCATAAGGACAATAGAGGAACATGTTAGGGTTAAGGATAAAATCGAACATAATATGGGAAAGGAGTTCAGCAAAAGATGAAGAATATTGAGTAGCTCGAACCGAAGGGCCAGTGTCCGATGTAGAGGGTTATGATTTTATAAGGCTTTGGTTCAAGAAGTACCTCCAGTGAAATTAAAAGCCTCTAACAAAAAAAGCCACGTAAGTGGCGGCACATCTCTCACCTCCACTAAGGTACTTCTCGAGGTCCCCATTGGCGCAGAACTCGTAAATGACGATCTGCTCGTGGTGCTCTGTTGTCATGTCCATGTCCACACAGTACCCCAGCAGCCGCACCAAGTGCGGATGGCTCTTTGATGCCATCTCCTCCACCTGCAGAGGAATGAAGGGAGGAGGAAAGACAGTTGTGGCGTGGTGGGCAATGATTTCATGAGAATGACGAGACTCTTCTCTTCCATGCCATCTCCTCCACCTGCAAGGGGAACGAATGGAACGAAAAAATAGCATGTGGGCAATTGATATGTCAGAACAAATGAAAGGAAAGAAAGAGGAAAGATGTGGTAGGAGCTGGATAGGAGTACGGAGAAACTATGGGGTACAGCACAAGGCAGTTAATATCACTATTTTTGCTATAACAAAAACAATAAGAATTGTTGCAGTGACTAAAACCTATTCAGTACTATATGTATAAGAATTATACTAGTGAGAAAAACAAACATAATATCACCTTCATTACAATTCTTATGAGGGTTGATGCTTTTATCATTGCTATCTCTTATCGCTCCCTTTCAATTGTGTCTTACATTTCACTTGAAGTCAGTGTATACCTTGCCTTGCCTTGTCACCGCTTCCACACCCACCTCTCGTTTGAAGTCATTCGTGAGAATCTTGGCGCGCTTCACAGCCCACACCACGGATGGGTCCACAGGAGACACTCCCCGATACACCTCCCCATACCCGCCCGACCCAATGTGATTCGCCTCGGCCCAATCGTTTGTCGCCTTGGCGACAGTGGCAAAGGAGTAGCGCTGGCACATGAGGGCTTGGCTTGGCACCACTGACAGGGCGCTGCCTTCTGTAGGTTCACCGCTCACTTGTGTTTCCTCGGGCTGGTCATGTCCTGGTGGGGTGTGGCGAGAGATGGGGTATGATGGGGATGGAAACTGAAACGATCAATTACTGTGCCTTGGCGACAGTGGCAAAGGAGTAGCGCTGGCACATGAGTGCCTGGCTTGGCACAACTGACAGAGCGCTGCCTTCTGTCACCACGTCGGTTGCTAGAGTATCATTGGGCTCGGCTTCCTGGCCTGCTGGAGTGTCTGTGGCAAGGGGTGATGAGATGGAAACGCAAGCTAGAAGGGTTAAGCACTGTGTCTTGAGACTGGGCAAAGGAGTAGCATTGAGTTGTGACACAGTAACCAATGTGGTTCGCCTCTGCCCAATTATCACACAACAGCTTGTGACAGACAAAGACAACAACGATTTTGTTATGCGCATTAAAAATCAGCTGCTTCTAACATATACAACACGGACGTAACGTGCCTTCCAAGTGAGTGTGTTACGCTGGGTTGGTTGGACACAACACAACACAGAGCAGTGGGCTATGGAGACGGGAGAGACGTGTAAAAAGATTATTTTTGAGACGTCTCAAAAACACCCTCTCTACACGTCGGTTGCTTGAGTATCATTGGGCTTGTCTTCCTGGCCTGCTAGGTGTAGAGAGGGTATTTTTGAGACGTCTCAAAAATAATATTTTTACACGTGACAACACAGAACAGTGGGCTATGGAGACGGGAGAGTGACATAAAGACGACCAGAAGCTATTCAGTTCAAAAATTGTTGTTAATGGAGGAATTTTACGTCAGTTGGGGTACAATACTTTACCTTGGGGTTTGGACCTTCGTTTCCAGAGAAGAAACAGGCCAATAACGAGGAGGACAATAACGAGTACGCCGCCCACAGCAATGCCAATGATAGCCCCCAGAGGCAGGCCGGACGAGGAGGAGGAAGAAGTGTCTGTGGACGGAGGAGGAGGAGTAGAGTTAGTAGCAGGAGGAGGAGGGGAAGGGCTAGCAGCAGGAGAGCCAGGGGAAGGGGCTGGGCTGTTGGAGCAGGAGGAGCAGAAGTCGGGGCAGTTGAGGCAGAACTGTGAGGAGGGGGTTTGCTTCACTACGCACGGCTGGCCGGCTCCTGGGCACACCGTGCCACTCTCGTTGAGCTCTCTGGGGGGGGGGGGGGGGAAGGGAAGAAGCATTGGTCAAAGGAAGGGAGGGGCAGTTGAGGCAGAACTGTGAGGAGGGGGTTTGCTCACCACGCACGGCTGGCCTGCCCCTGGGCACACCGTGCCGCTCTCGTTCAACTCTCTGCGAGTGGGGGGGGCGGGGAGGAAGGTGAGAGGGTGAGAGGGGGAGGAGGGGGTCTGGTGGACCACACACGGCTGGCCGGCTCCTGGGCACACTGTACCGCTCTCGTTGAGCTCTCTGGGGGGTGCGGGGTTGGGGGGCAGTTGATGCAGCACTGGGAGGAGGGGGTCTGGTGGACCACACACGGCTGGATGAGTGGGGAGAGAAAGACGCATGGCTGGCAGGACACAGTACGCTCACTCAACATTCTCCCCCCACACACACTGACACACTCACACACTGACACACTCACACACTGACACACTCACACACACATCCCCACAACCCCTTCATACACTCACAGCTCCGTGAGGAGAAGGAGATTCCCGAGGGTGGGAGGAACAGTGCCCGAGAGAGCATTGGTGGCGAAACCCCTGCAGGGAGGTGGACGGTGGCAGGTGATGGCAATAGGCAAGGTGGGGTGGTGATGGAATGGCAATAGGCACGGTGGGGTGGTGATGGAATGGCAATAGGCACGGTGGGGTGGTGATGGAATGGCAATAGGCACGGTGGGTGGTGATAGAATGGCAATAGGCACGGTGGGTGGTGATGGAATGGCAATAGGCACGGTGGGTGGTGATGGAATGGCAATAGGCACGGTGGGGTGGTGATGGAATGGCAATAGGCACAGTGGGGTGGTGATGGAATGGCAATAGGCACGGTGGGGTGGTGATGGAATGGCAATAGGCACGGTGGGGTGGTGATGGAATGGCAATAGGCACGGTGGGGTGGTGATGGAATGGCAATAGGCATGGTGGGGTGGTGATGGAATGGCAATAGGCATGGTGGGGTGGTGATGGAATGGCAATAGGCATGGTGGGGTGGTGATGGAATGGCAATAGGCACGGTGGGGTGGTGATGGAATGGCAATAGGCACGGTGGGGTGGTGATGGAATGGCAATAGGCACGGTGGGGTGGTGATGGAATGGCAATAGGCACGGTGGGGTGGTGATGGAATGGCAATAGGCATGGTGGGGTGGTGATGGAATGGCAATAGGCACGGTGGGGTGGTGATGGAATGGCAATAGGCATGGTGGGGTGGTGATGGAATGGCAATAGGCACGGTGGGGTGGTGATGGAATGGCAATAGGCACGGTGGGGTGGTGATGGAATGGCAATAGGCACGGTGGGGTGGTGATGGAATGGCAATAGGCACGGTGGGGTGGTGATGGAATGGCAATAGGCATGGTGGGGTGGTGATGGAATGGCAATAGGCACGGTGGGGTGGTGATGGAATGGCAATAGGCATGGTGGGGTGGTGATGGAATGGCAATAGGCACGGTGGGGTGGTGATGGAATGGCAATAGGCACGGTGGGGTGGTGATGGAATGGCAATAGGCACGGTGGGGTGGTGATGGAATGGCAATGGGGCATTCAAATGACATTGGAGAGCATTGGAGGCGGAACCCCTGGTGGGAGGTGGCGGGTGGTGGCAATAGTGCATGGTGGGTGGCGGGTGATGGGATGGTAGTGGGGCATCAGGACAGACATTGGAGAGCATTGGAGGGGGAACCCCTGCAGGGAGTGGCGGGTGGCAGGTGATGCCCACAGGGCATTCAAATGGCATTGGAGAGCAACAGGTGGAGAGCAACAGGCGGAGAGCAGAGGTGGAGAGCAACAGGCGGAGAGCAGAGGTGGAGAGCAACAGGCGGAGAGCAGAGGTGGAGAGCAACAGGCGGAGAGCAGAGGTGGAGAAACCCCTGGAGGGAGGTGGTTGGTGGTAATGTAATGCATTGCATTGCACTGTCAACGTGTGACGATAGTGGTGGTAATACCTTGTGATTAGAACCAAGTATTGGTATCTGTGCTAGTATTACTGGAACTATCACACAGACAGCCGATCGTACCAGTGTGTGAGGTCTCTAAAACAAGTTTGCACTTTTACCCTAAACTCTATCAGAAGTTTGCACTTTTACCCTAAACTCTATCAGAAGTTTGCACTTTTACCCTAAACTCTATCAGAACTTTGCACTTTTACCCTAAACTCTATCAGAAGTTTGCACCATTTCTAGAATGTTAAACGCAAGCAAAGAGATTGAATGATTGGAATCGTACAGGTATGTGAGATTTGTGAGGCTTCCCAATTGGGAAGGAATTTCTCCGGAGAACTGGTTATTGTCAAAGTGCCTGCACAACAGAGGGCACGGGGGTTGGAGAAGGATAATGTAATAAAATGTCGCACTCTCTTTATCCGGGAAACTGGTTATTGCCAAAGTGCCTGCAACATGGGAAGGCGGGTGAAGTGGAGATAATGTGACATATTGTCGCACTTCCCTCGCAACATTACGTTAGTCCAAGAATTGCCTGATTCATGCAAGTCACTTCTGAGAATTCTTCAATATGTATAAAGTAGCTTTCCTTCCTCAGCAAAGCTTGGAACTAATCTGTACTCAAACTAATATGTACTTCATAAACTAATATGTACTCATAAACTAATATGTACTAATAAAGTAATATGTAATCATAAAATTATATGTACTCATAAACCAATATGTATTCATACCCCTGCCATTTCTATTCGAGCAATCTTATGGCGACTCAGGAAACCAACTTGAGTCGACCCAACATGTTGAGTCGACTCAACATGCCATCACAGCACAATCTTAAGGTGATGCAAGAACTGTAAGATGTGATTAGAACATTTTGAGGCGCCTCAAAAGGTGATGCAAGAACTGTAAGATGTGATTAGAACATTTTGACGCGCCTCAAAAGTCGTACATTGCGATAAGAGCATGCGCATAAGGTGCCTCAAGAAACGGGATGTGCCATCGTATCAGAACATACAGCATGTCGAGTTTGGTGAGGGTGGCGAAGAATGAAGGGATGGTGCCTCGGAATATGTTGCGGGCGAAGTCACTGAGGAGATGGGATGGTGGGAGGGATGGATGTTGTTGAGTGGGGTGGTGAGAGGAATGGTTAGAGGGGTGGCGAAGAATGAAGGGATGGTCCCTCTCAAGAGAGGAATGATGAAGCACACCACACCACACCACACCACACCGCACTGCACCACACCATCACAGTTTGCATGGCAAGCATACACGTGAATGATTTTCTTAAGCGAGGCGAGGGTTTGTGGTATGTTGCCTGTGAACTGAGTAAGCAGAAGCACACCACACCACATTGCACCGCACCACACCGCACTGCACCGCACCACACTGCACCACACAATCACATATCGCAGGCATACATGTGATTGAGTTTCTTGAGTGCGGCGAGGGTTTGTGGTATGCTGCCTGTGAACTCGTTGTCTAGAAGAACACTAACATAGGGAAATAACAGATGCGATGGGGCATAAATAAACAGGGGTGAAATGGGATGTGAAGGGGTGAGGTGAGATGGATGGGTTTGCATGAAAACGATGTTGCATGCAGAGCAGAGTTGACTTTTGAATTGGTGGCCTGTGTCTTTCATGGACGTCCTTTAACTATCTTGGCAATTCTTGCATGGGAAACCAAGCTGACAAGAATAGAGTACTAGTCAAATTCTTCCATTGAAGCGTCTCAAAAGTCAGCTTCTTACACAGTCTGCAAGTTGGTGAGCTTGCCGAACTCTGTAGGGATGGAACCGGAGAATGTGTTGTATGCAAGGTCACTGCCAGGAGGGAAAGATGACAGAAAGCAGAGAGAAGAGGAACAGAGAGAGGAGAGAAACGAGTGAGCAGAGAGAAGAGTAAGAAGAGCGAGAAGCGAGAGAAGAGAGAGAAAGCGAATGCTCTGACAATGGAAAGAGAGAGGCTCTTGTATGTGACGCGAATGCACCCAGCACAGGTGTAAATAAATAGGACTGTTGAACCCTAATACCTTAACCCTGAACTTCATCAATCGTCTGGTATACGAGGTGACAGGGCCCACAGGTGTACAGTTCTCCTTTCTATGATTTTTGAGGCGCCTCTAAAATTATACGAGGTGACAGGGCCCGCAGGTGACAGGGCCCGCAGGTGACAGGGCCTGCAGGTGTACAGTTCTCCTTTTTATGTTGGTATGCGAGGCGACTGAACCCGCAGGTGCGATGCGAACATATAGATGCTTTGCAGCACCAATCTGATATGTTGTGCTTGTCACTTTTGAGGCGCCTCAAAAGGTGTGAAAGAAATATATTCTTTGCAGCACCAATCTGAATATATTGTGTTTCTCAGCCAGCTTTTGAGTCGACTCAAAAGTCATCTCATCTTACAGCACCAAGCTGAGTATATTTTGTTTGTCAGCCAGCCAGCTCAAACTGGTGCTGTGTTGCACAGAGAACCCTGCAGCAGGAACCCAGTCTATGGCACATGGGACGACTTTTGAGGCGCCTCAGAGGAACTAAGTCTATGGCACATGGCAGCTTAGCTAATCAGCAATGTTAAGGGGCCTACTTACACAACAACCAAGCTGCGGAGGGTTGCCACTGCTGGAAGGATCTCCCTTGTTTCCAGCCAAGAGACCTTACATTACAAGAGAACTTAGTTAGCAATGTGGGTGCCGGCCGGGAAGGGACCTGCTTACACGACAACCAAGCTGCGGAGGGTTGCCACTGCTGGAAGGATCTCCCTTGTTTCCAGCCAAGAGACCTTACATTACAAGAGAACTTAGCTGGCAACGTGGGTGCCGGGAAGGGACCTGCTTACACGACAACCAAGTTGCGGAGGGTTGCCACTGCTGGAAGGATTTCCCCCTCCAAGTTTTCGTTTGCGCCTAGATTCCTGTGCCAAAAGGTGCACCACAATGAGTCAACAGCGGTCAATGCAGGTCAGCAGAGGTCAACGCACGTCAACAGAAATCATCAACACAGAGCAGCAGAGGTCAACACAGGGCAGCGGAGGTCAACGCTCATCGACACATTTGGAGTTTCGAGAGACGAGAGAGAGACACAGGGCTATGACCCTATCTCTGAAACGCCTCACAGAAATACAAAGTGGGGCATGGCATGGCACACAATAGCTGTAGTTTCTATCCTCTTGTTGCAGACGTAGTCTTAGCATACAATGCTTGGATTGGAAGCTCGGAGCTTTGAGAAGCGAGAGAGAGCGAGAGAGAGAGAGAGAGAGAGAGAGAGAGAGAGAGAGAGAGAGAGAGAGAGAGAGAGAGAGAGAGAGAGAGAGAGAGAGAGAGACAGGGGAACGACTCTATTATTTAAATGCCTCACAGACATTCATACTGGAGCATATAATGGTAACTGTAGCTTCTAGCTGTAGTTTCTAGCCTCTTGTTGCAGACGTGTTCTTTAAGCATACAGCGCTTGGAGCTTCGAGAGGCGAGAGATGGACGAGGGGACAGATCCTTCGAAGTTGTTGTAAAAGAGCGACCTGCAAAGCCCGTGTCACGTCAAGTCAGGCGCAACAAGCCAGTCACAAGCAAAACACGCGAGTGGTGTGTTTTGAGTCGACTCAAAACACGGCTCATTGCAACAGATCCTCTGAAGTTGTTGTAATAGAGCGACCTGCAAAGCCCGTGTCACGTCAAGTCAGGCACAACAAGCCAGTCGCAAGCAAAGCACGCCAGTGGCACTTCCTTCCGACATACATACACCAGGCACAAGCCACTTCCAAATCAAGCACGTCTTCTGCCCAGGGCTCAAAATTCTGGTTTTAGTTAAGCGCAGATGGTAGTGATAACAGAAAGAAGGAAAGGAAAGAAAATAAAAGAAAAGAAAAGAAACAAAGATGTTTTGAATGACGGCCAGAAAGGGAAACGCGGAAGAAGGGCCGTATTTGACCTGATTAATCTGTGGTCCTATGGGTTGGTGCCCCCTCAGGTTTGATAGAAAAGATTGTTAGCATAGGTGTGTCACTTACAGGAACGAGAGCTGAGTTAGCTTTGACACGGCAGTTGGGAAGCTTCCAGAGAAGGAGTTGTTCCCAAGGTCGCTGATTGGGGGAGCAAGCGATTGGTGCGCCATGGTGGCAAGATGAGGATATGAGATCAAGGTTTGAGGGGAAGGAGCAAGAAAGCAACGTAATTTCTGGGCCATGGTGGAGAGAGAGAGGGGAGGATATGAGAGGGAGGAAGGCGAAATGAGACGGTTTTTAGATGGTTTTGAGATGGTTTTCGGATGTCTCAAAAAATGGAGATGCTGTGACAGTGGCTGGATGGTAGTGAAAGCAAGGAAAGCTTTGGTCTCAAAAAATGAAGATGCTGTGACAGTGGCTGGATGGTAGTGAAAGCAAGGAAAGCTTTGGTCTATGGTGGAGAGGAGAGGAGAGGAGAGGAGAGAAGAGGATCTATCGATGTTGGACAGGTGGGCTGCAAAGGCTTTGGTCTAGACACCTTGAGGAGAGACGAGGATTTCAGTTCAAAGTCACGGTTTGTTTCGAGACACCTCGAAGTACCACGACAAACCATGACTGAGGGGGGAGATGTTCTCGAGGTGGCTGGCTGGCTGGCTGGCTGGCTGGCTGGCTGGCTGGTCGGTTGGTAAAGAAGTGATACAAGTGTAGTTTTGAGACGTCTCAAAACTACACGTTTACCACGAGACACCCTCAAGGTACCACGACAAGAGGGGGGGATGTTGTCGAGGTGGCTGGCTAGCTGGACGGTTGGTACAGAAAATTCTGAGACGTCCCAAAGTTATTGAGGTTGGTGTTGAAAGCACAAAAGACTTTGGATTGGTCTATGGTGGAAAGTAGAGGATTCGGTTTGTTGGAGAGTAAGAAATTTGAGACGCATCAAAGAACAAAACAAGGCGGAAGAAGAGTGAGTGAGGGAGTCAGAAACTGAGTGAGAAATGAATGGGTGAGAGAGCTGGGAATGAGATGGAGGGAGGAGTGTGACGAACAGAATTTGCAGATCAGTGAGAGCACCCAGAGACGCGGGTAACGTTCCATTAAAATAGTTGTTAAGTAGATCGCTGCAATCAGGGGCGGACGAAACAGAGACTATTGACGAGAATTCGAAGTGTTTGTCAAAGGTGAGAGAAGAACGTTACTAACAGTGAAAAATACGAGTAAAGTCTGAAGTTGACTCTCGTTTCGAATACCTTAAAAGGCGACTCACAAAAGTTGCTTGAAATGTGTACAGGTCATTCATAATGTGTATAAGTCTTGAAAGTCTAAAAGTCAGCAGTTTAATGGGAGAGGAGAATTGCACAGGTAGCTGGTCATGAAAGTACCGCAGAAATGCGTACAGGATAAGGAGCCGATGGTGGGCTTTTGAGTCGACTCAAAAGCAGTACAGCAGAAATGCGTACGGTACGGGATAAGGAGCAGATGATGGGAGGCTAGGCATCTAGTTCCGAGACCTCTCAAATCTCAACAGTTTCGTGGCAGAGAAGAATTGCGTACAGGATTTGAAGGCGGGATAAAGAGCCAATGGTGGGAGGCAGGAGTCCCTCTATGGCGTTTTCTGAGAGATCGCTGTGGGCACGAGCGACGGGGTGGAGATGGGGAGAGGGAGAGATGGGGAGAGGCAGAGATGGGAAGACGGAGAGATGGGGAGAGGGGGTGACAACTTTCAGAATTCTTGTGAGGTGCCTCAAGAGCCAATGGTGGAAGGTAAGAGACTCCCAATGAGGTTGGATGAGAGATCGCTGTGGGTGGGAGAAGGGGCAGATGGGGAGAGGAGAAGATGGGGAGAGGAGAAGATGGGGAGAGGAGAAGATGGGGAGAGGAGAAGATGGGGAGAGCAGAAGATGGGGAGAGGAGAAGACGGGGAGAGGAGAAGATGGGGAGAGGAGAAGATGGGGAGAGGTGGAGATGGGGAGAGGTAGAGATGGGGAGAGGGGGAGATAGGGAGAGGCGGAGATGGGGAGAGGGTGAGACAAACTCAAAAGTTCTAGGGAGGGAGGGAGGGAGGGAGGGAGGGAGGGAGGGAGGGAGGGAGGGAGGGAGGGAGGGAGGGAGGGAGGGAGGGAGGGAGGGATGAGATGAGCTGGGGTGGGAGGAGGGAGGGATGAGATGAGCTTTCAATCGCCTCAACTACTTCAGTGGCAGAGCAGACATACGTACAGAGCTTTGAAGGCTGGATGAGGTGTTGTTGATGGTGGAAGGTAGGCAGGGCATCTACTTGTGAGGCATTTCAGATCTTAACTGTTCAGTGGTGGCGCAGAAACACGCACAGGACTTGGAAGGTCTCAAATCTTAGCAGGCTAGCAGGCAGTGAAGGAACGAGTACAGGATTTGAAGGCTGGATAAAGAGCCGATGGTGGAAGGCAATGAATCCTGTAGGCCGTTGTATGATAGATCGCTGCGAGCAGGAGATGGGGAGGAGGAGGAGAGATGGGAAGAGAGGGGGAGAGATGGAAGAGATGGGAAGAGAGCAGGACAGTTGGAAGGTTGCTGCGAGCATTGTTAATCGCCCCCCCCTCCCTCCTTCTACCACAGTTTCTGCAGCAGTGGAAGCTGCCCTATGCTCGCCGGGGTGCGGCCTAACCCAAGAAAATTTCGAACCATTGCTTCTCTCCTCTCCTCTCCCTCGCTCGCTCCCACTTCTTCCCCGTAGTAATCAGCTTCCTTCCCAGTACCCGTGCCCCGTCCTGACTTTTGAGACGACTCAAAAGTCACCTCTCCTCTCCCTCGCTCGCTCCCACTTCTTCCCCGTAATCATCAGCTTCCTTCCCAGTACCCGTGCCCCGCCCGTCCTCCTCCCTCATTCTTTTGAGGCGCCTCAAAAGTCTTCCCAGTAGCCGTGCCCCGTCCTCCTCCCTCATTCTCTCACAGTTTCTGCAGCATGGAAAGCCGCCCTACGCTCGCAGGGATGGGGCCTGACAACAAGTTGTAGCTCAGATCGCTGGTGGTGGGCCGGGGGTGGGAGCGGGGCAAGGTGAGGGAAAAGGGGAAGCCGCCCAACGCTCGCAGAGATGGGGCCTGACAACGAGTTGTAGCTTAGGTCGCTGGTGGTAGGGCCGAGGTGGGTAGGAAGGGGAGAGATTGACTGGCAAGGGGAAGGTGCAGACGAGGCTGCCCTATGCTCGCAGGGGGGGCAGTGGCAGGGGGACAGTGGCAGGGGGGCAGTGGCAGGGGCAGGGCCTGGCAAGGAGTTGTATCTCAGACCACCAGTGCAATTGGCACGACAGCGATCAGCTTTCTGGTAACTTTCACTTGACCAGCTTACTCATACCCCTTCCCTGCTCCCCCTTTCTCTCACAGTGTCTGCAGCAGTGGAAGCTGACCAATGCTCGCAGGGATGGGGCCTGACAACGAGTTGTAGCCCAGATTGCTGGTGGTGGGGCAGGGTTGAGAGGGAGGGGGGAGAGGCGGAGGGGGAAGGAGGGGGGGGAGGAGAGTGAGTAGCAAAAGAAGGGGTTAAAGGGGGGGAAAGCTGCCCAATGCTGGCAGGGATGGGGCCCGACAACGAGTTGTACCTCAGATCGCTGGTGGTAGTGCGGGGTTGAGAGGTGTGGGGGGAGAGGGGGAGGGGGAAGGGAAGGAGGAGGGAGAAGAGTGAGTGGCAAAATAAGGGGGCAGGGGGAAACCACCAAATGCTCGCATGGATTGGGGAATGTGGGAAGGAGGAGGAGGAGGAGGAGGAGGAGGAGGAGGAGGAGGAGGAGGAGGAGGAGGAGGAGGAGGAGGAGGAGGAGGAGGAGGAGGAGGAGGAGGAGGAGTGGGTTGGAAAACAAACAAAATATTTAAAAGAGGGGTATATGGGAACATTTGAGGGGATCAGGAACCGAACGGGCTACCAATGCATCTCACAGGGAAACCAGTGTACTGAGGTTGCCTATAGTGGAGCAGATGCTTCCTCCCAGATCAGAACCGGAGAAGTCACTGCAGTGCAGGCCATTGCAAGAACGGGATGGAAACAAGTAGAAGGGGAAGGAGGCATTAAAAGCAAGCACGGTGAATAGACACGGGTTTAAGTGGGGAGAAAGGGGAAGGAGGGAATCGTGGTTGAATGGCGATGAAGGTGACGGAGGAAGGCTCATTCAAGTAGGAAAGGGAGTGAGTATGTAGATTGTGTGTGCATTTCCGGCTAGCATCATCTCATATACATTATGAATGTGCATTTGTTGTAATAGGTTTGTTTTGAGTCTAGTGCAAACACACTTGCGGGTGCATTTCCATTCAACACCATCTCGCTAATAATTTAGAAAGACGACCAGGTTCACTCTATAGCGCGTATAGAGTGGTAATTCGTGACTGTACAGCTTACATGGACTTGAGTGTTCCGTCGGGGTTACACTCGAGGCCTACGTCCGGCGTGCACGGATCGCTCGGTGTCCAGTCATAACTCGTCGCACCCATCTCCACCACACATTCCGCCAATACCTTGGCTGGACACCCACGGAAAAGTGGCGGGAATGACAAAGCGAACCGAACGAGAATTAGCAATGCAACAAAGGACGAGCATATATTGTCGGTCATTTCCGAGTTTATGCAGAATCACTAAAAAAATGGTGTTGTCCATGGCATTTGAATTCACGCACAATAAGTTTCCCTCAAAATGCTCTCGACGTAATTCGAGAACGGCTTCACAAGCTCTTTCTGCAAAAAGGCACGCGCGATAGAAGCACAAACCTTGTTCTTGCTCCACAACCACAGCTACGGAAACCGGCGAATAACTTAATACAGTCAAGCAGACAAGAAGCGGCAGGAGCAACGAGACACGCGCTAACGAATCTAGGGATTGCCGTCCTCTACATCGGAATACGCGATATGCGCAGGCACCGCTGCGACGCTCTTGACCTTCTAGTTCCACGGTTACAGATTTTTGGTGGTCATGGCGACAAGCGGTGGATGTATGACGCAAACGCTGCTGCTTCTGCCTCGGTCTAGATGCGCTGCTAACATGTCCATAACTGAAGTTTAACGCATTCTGCGAGCGCGTTCTGCACTGCGAAGCGTCGTCCATGACGCCTTCAAACACGCGTACTCGAATTTTCAGGCCACGACACCTGAAATTTAGCCTAAGAGGCAATAAGTGGCAGCATCCCTATAACAGTAATAAGCATCCACGACTTTCGCACAAGTAGAATCTTGCTTCGCAACGGTCTAAAGTGAGGTTTGTTAGTGCTAGTACTAGCAGACCTAGAGTGTGGAAGATCCCTAAGAACCAAGGCTTTGGTCGCGCAGTTGCGACAGTAACCAGTGTTGCGACTCTCGCCATTGAGCATTGTGAAAGAGTGACGAAAATTGCTAGAAGCACTCGCGTTTCAGAGCCCGTGTCCCCTAGTCGCCCCACGTTTTTGGTTCCACGCGGATAAGACCAAGATTGGCGATGTAACCAGACATGCAACCAGGTGTTCTCGTGGGTGATGTGGTGCAACCCAATTTGCCCAAACGATTGACGAACTCAGAGCACTTCGCTTGAGAGCGACCAAGGCCCCTGCCAAAACCTTCAAACCTCTTTGATTTGCAATGTGGGGTTTCGTGTGTTACCTGGCGAAAGGTGTCGCAAGCCATTGACGAGGCCAGATGTTCGACCACATGAGCAACCAAACACATGTTCGCGTGGAACATCCTTTTGAACAAGTGATTGGTCGGTTGCCTGGTCGAACATTGGGGCTCGTCAATCGTTTGCGACGGAGTTCGCCAGGCAACACAGAAAACCAAAAACTGCAAATCAGAAACCCCTGCAAATTTGGGGAAGGGACCATAGGTCGCCCACAAACGCAAAGCCTGTAGGGTACACGTTTCGCTAACTTCGTCAATCACCTTGCTGCTAATTAGGATGCAGCACATCACCCTCGACAACACCTGGTTGCATGTCGCATGTTTCTGCCTACATCGTCAATTCTTGTCGTATCAGCGTGATAAAAAAAGTGGGGTGACCGATGGCCCAAGCTGTGGAACTTGGGCGCTGCTTCCAGTCTTCGTCACTCTTCTACGAATTTCATTTGCGACAAACGCAAACAGGGTTACTGTCGCAGTTGAGCGACCGACGCTGTGTTCAAAAGGATGTTCCACGCTCTAAGGATCTTCCACGCCCTCATTATCCTGAGCTGCTGTACTGTAGGAACATGACTCACCGCCGCACAACACTTCACCACAGGTGCTTTCACAGTACAATTTTACAAACAATAGTTACAATGTGGTGCTTTATGCCTCCATAACGGTACAGAAGCGTTTTACTTACTATCGGTGACGCCTTGGAGGCAGGTCTGGGTTCGGAAAGAAGGTTTGCAAATCAGGTAGGGCAGGAGCCAGGCGTGTAGGTCTGGCTGATGTTCTGGTTTGGTACGGCGAAAGTTCAGCTTCGGACACTCCGAAGAGATGCAAGTCTGTGTTTACGATAAATCGTAGCATCTTGAAGCATCTCGTAAACTGTTCGTAAGGTACCTCTGTTCGTGCATCGCCCAGCTCGAAGCTCCAGAATGACCAATTGGCGAGGCTCGCCTGCTGCTCGTCAGAAACCTCAGAGCTGAACAACAGTCACCCCCCATGGGCGAAGCATTTCAGGCTGACAGCAAACTTGCATCATCATCCCCTTAGGACGCGGCACATGTTTTGTCTTTTCCAGGATCGAGGGGCATCGAAGCCCGTACACCGATTCTCCCACATCGATCGGCACATCGATGTGCACACACTGCAAATTTGCAGTGTAATAGACACGCCGAGCCATGGGTGCCAGGGTCGAAATTGCAGGGTCGGGCAGGTAGGACCCGCAGCGAAATACACCAGAAACTTAGTCGTTAACCATTCAGAGCAAAGCACAGCGGGTCGTTATCCAATCATTTTCGCCTGCGACCGTGGGCGACGCCGATCGATCGCGGCTGTCACCTGTGGCGCGATGTGCCCTCCCGCCAACCCAAACGCACTAGTGCACATCGAACGTGCGGGCTGCGGGTGCCACCATTTTGGTGCCCCGTTTACTGTACATTCTCGACGTTCTGCGGAAGACGGATACCAGTCTTTGGCGATGTCGTTAATACACTGTACAAGCGGCACATCGATCCCCTCCCACGATCGATCCTGGCAAAGTCAAAACAGGTGCCGCGTCCTTAGCGCAATAAACTCTGAAATCTCTACTCACGTGCTTGGCGATAAATGCTGCTGGTAACCGTCAGTGGCGACTGAGCTGACGATAAATGTTGCCGTTGCCATAGGTAATGCGGGATAGCAACAGTAGCAACAAACGTGATGCAACGCAAACCGAAACCTTCGAGTCTACAGTTTTCAAGGGTGTGACAGTCAGAGGACTCAGGAGTGAGGAGGACCAAACCTGTTGCTGCTTTGCCGTGCCGTCCTCCTCTCATCTTCCTCGTCACTCTGATGACGGTCACTCTCCTGCCTTCCGTTTGGAACGGAACGCTTCGTTGTAACCCTAGATTTCTTAGTTCACTACGCCGGACAAATAATCCGGTTTTTGCGCACACCTTTGTTGCGGTTCGTTGACCAGGAAGCAGCTCAAAGGCTGTCATTTCTCATCCGACGTCCGAAGCGCCAATGCTATGATTGACCCATTTTTTGCTGCTCGCAGTTCCGTTCTCGCACGTACATGTACAGTTGGATTATCGCTGACCACCTTCGAGCCGCTTCTTTGACGAACCTCGGAACAGAGACAGCCTTCAAGGCCGACGTTTAACAGTATCAACAACGTAATTACCGCCTTGGTGTGTCCAGCATTGACGTCTCGAATACACTAATAAATATATATTATTTGTCGTCGATATTAGTAGCTTTTCTGTCGCTGTCGACGAGAGTTATCTTCCCCTGAAGCACGACGGCCTGTCGCACGCAGTGGCGACGTCAAGCACGTCGGGACGGTTCCCGACGAAACAGCTTACAGGCCGTTTCTTCCACGGCTTATCCTATTTTATTAGCCAGCACGTCGATTCCCTGCTCTTGCAAACAACGGCTGCACGTTTTGCGCGTAAATGGCGGGCCATCATGATTGCCGTTGTTTCGTCTTCGAGTCGCCATTCGTCCCACTTTTACAAAATCATCGCCGCGGGTATCGTAATCTCCTGGTAACCCGTCGTCTGCCTCTCGCTCTCGTCGCCTGCGCGTGGCTGCTGCTTACTAGTAGCCTGTTTGCCGGACAGGCCTCTGGAATCGGGAACATTCCAAGGAAAACGCAAGGCTCTGGAAACGGAAACACTGTTCCAAGGAAAGCGCGGTACCTACAGGCGTTGAACATATCTCTGGGGACCGTACCCGTAGCACCTCCCGGGAGCGCACCCTCTGGGAACGGATCTCCTGGGAAGTCGCCCTCTGGAAGCGGTTCCCCATACGGGTACTTTGACAACCCCCGGGCTTCCGCAAACAGTCCTTCGGGGAGCATCCCTCCGCCTGAGAACGGGGCGCTGCCAATGCAGCTGCCGGCGCAGGGACCCGTGAGCGGGCCCCCGGGGGGAGGCGGAGCGGGAGGGGGAGGAGGCGGGGATGGGGGAGGCATACCGCCGCCGCCTGGCGGAGGACCGCCGGGGGAGGGAGGAGCGCCTGGAGGAGGGGGTGCAGACGGAGGACAGGGGGGAGGGGGTGCACCGGTGAATGTGACAGCCGAACAAGGTGAGGGCGCTTGAGGGACATTAGGACGGTCAGGAAACTAGCGGGTGATATGGGAGAGTGGGGAGATATGAGGGTGATTGGAAGCGGGTGGGAGATGGGAAAGGGATGGGGAAGGGGGATGACGGGGAGAAGAGGAAGGGGGAGGCATTCCATCGCCTGGCGGAGGGATGGGAACGCCAAGGGGAAGGGGGAGCACCAGGGGGAGGGGGAGCCGGCGGAGTACAGGGGGGCTTTGCGCTGGTAAATGTGACAAATGAACAAGGTGAGGTGATGGTAATTGGGAAGGTGAGGAAATGGGTGGGTGTGGAGTACGGAGGGGGATTGAAGTCATGTGGTGTTTCAAGGGGCCTTAGGAAGTGCTTGGTTGTTGTCTGATTGTTGCGCGTGGCCCCCATGGCTGATTGTTGCGCGTGGCCCCCATGGCTGATTGTTGCGCGTGGCCCCCATGGCTGATTGTTGCGCGTGGCCCCCATGGCTGATTGTTGCGCGTGGCCCCCATGGCTGATTGTTGCGCGTGGCCCCCATGGCTGATTGTTCCGCGTGGCCCCCATGGCTGATTGTTGCGCGTGGCCCCCATGGCTGATTGTTGCGCGTGGCCCCCATGGCTGATTGTTGCGCGTGGCCCCCATGGCTGATTGTTCCGCGTGGCCCCCATGACTGATTGTTGCGCGTGGCCCCCATGGCTGATTGTTCCGCGTGGCCCCCATGGCTGATTGTTCCGCGTGGCCCCCATGACTGATTGTTGCGCGTGGCCCCCATGGCTGATTGTTCCGCGTGGCCCCCATGGCTGATTGTTCCGCGTGGCCCCCATGGCTGATTGTTGCGCGTGGCCCCCATGGCTGATTGTTCCGCGTGGCCCCCATGGCTGATTGTTCCGCGTGGCCCCCATGGCTGATTGTTCCGCGTGGCCCCCATGGCTGATTGTTCCGCGTGGCCCCCATGGCTGATTGTTCCGCGTGGCTTATCATGGGTATCCCACCCACGTGCCAGCCACCCTTTGCAGGCAGCAGGCGTGTGATGAGGTTGTTTTTGAGACGTCTCAAAAACAACCTCATCACACCTCATCATGGGTATCTCACCCACGTGCCAGCCACCCTTTGCAGGCGCGATTCTGAAGAGATGTGGCGGAGAGATGGGCGTGCAGAATGGCATGTGGTCTTTCAAGGGGCCTTACGGAGGGCTTGATTTGATTATCATTCGTGGTTACCCACCCACCCATGTGGCACGGCACCCATTCTTTGCAGGCGCTATTCTGAAGGCATGTGGCAGAGAGATGGGCGTGCCAGATGGCATGTGGTATCCTGGCGCACCGTGTAACGCTGACTCGACGTGGCTTACGTGCGACCCTGATGGCACTGTCAACGGCATGTGAGTGAGGGAGGCATGGTATGGGATGGCATGGCATGGCATAATGTCGTGCAATGGCATGTGGTACGGTATCCTGGCTGCCATGTAGCATTGACTCATGGCTCCGGTGCGACCCTGACAGCACTGTCGATGGCATGTGAGTGTGGCATGGCATGGTATGGCATGGCACGGGGCATAGCATGGCATGGTGCGGCATGGCGTGGTATGTTATGACATGGCGTGGTAGTGCAGGCAGGGTATGCATGTAGGTCCAGCTGTTACTCCCTTCCATTCCACCCACTTTCACCTACTCTCCCTCACTCCGCGCTTATTCTCCCCCCTCCGCTGCTGTCCCCCTTAGTGTCATCCGCGATAAGGGCATCTCAGGATCCATCTGCTCCAATATAGGGCTCCTCACTACGCTGGTGAAGATGTACGTCTGAGGTTTGGCTCGGGTAGGTATTTAAGGGCGTCTCCAACCAAACTTGAAGGTGTAGGTTTGGTCGTTTGACCAACAGGCTGGTAGGTATCAGGTTTCCAATGAGGTAGACGTGAATGTTAGAAGCACTCGTGGGTGGTTTCATATACATTTCCTGAAACGCATTACAATGATTCAAGAATATGCGCCTGGGAGAGATAGTATACTCCTCGCCTCGTCACTTTTGAGTCGACTCAAAAGTTACGATGATTCAAGAATATGCGCCTGGGAGAGATAGATAGGATACTCGCCTCGTCCCCATTTGCCCGTTCTCACACCTCAAAAGTAGCTCTGCCGTCGTCTCTTCCTTCCCATTTCCCGCTGCCGCACTCATCACTTCCCACCAATATTCTTGTGATGGAGAGCGACTCATGCATTTGCCTCATCCCCAATTACTGTCGTGTCGCCCCCGTCTCATTACCATACAACTACCCTTGATTGACTCTTGCTTCAACTCTCACACCCTCCCTCCCCCCTGTCCTGTTCCATCCTCGTTAGTGACATGGCCAACAACTCGCTATCAGGCTCGCTTCCCACCAGCCTTGGCAACCTTGCAAGACTGGCCGTCTTGTGAGTGGTGTCCTGACCTGAGTAGGTCTGTAGTCCGCGATATGTTCAAATTTTGAGATGTCGCAAGACTGGCCGTCTTGTGTTGTGAGTAGTGTCCTGCGTAGGTCTGCCCTGCCACACAAAATGCGTTGCCTTGCCATTCCTCTACCGCTTCTCTCTGTCCTCTGACGCTCACGCTCTTTCGCCTCGCCAGCCTGGTGCAGTGTGACGTTTAAGTCGACTCATAAATCGACTCGAAAGCTGACTCGAAAGTCAACACACAAGTCGACTGAAAAGTTGACTCAAAAGACATCGATGCTTGACTTTTGAGATGTCTCAAAAGCTCTATCGCCTCTCCAGCCTGGTGCTGTGTGGCTTTTCAGTCGACTTTGAAGACATCTATGTTTTCCCAAGAATAACGTTCGAGATTTCTTACAATATTTTCCCTTGGTCCACCTCCCTTATTGCCACGTCTCTGTCTCTCACATACAGTAACCTTCAACAGAACTGGCTGAGTGGAAAATTTCCCCCCGCTCTACTTTTGAGGCGCCTCAAAAGTTGTGTTTTCCATTTGCCCACCTCCCTTATGCCACGCCTCTGTCTCTGACATACAGTAACCTTCAAAAGAACCGCTTGAGTGGATACTTTCCCCCCACGCTCTCTCGCCTTGCCAGCCTGCAAATGTTGTGAGTTTGTCAATCCGCCCGTCCTATCCTTTCATCCCTTCATTCATTCGTCCCTTCATCCCTTCATCCCTTCATCTCTTCTTCAATTTATCCATCCCTTTATCTGTTCATCCATCCTTCTCTTCCCTCCTCCCTCCCTCGCTTCCTCTCCATCTTCCATTGACCTCCCTTCCTCCATTCCATTTTCAAACCCTCCTCTCCTTCACTCCTCCCCTCCTCCCCCTGCTCTTCCTATGAGCTAGCATCCCAATGCCCTTACGGCGTGTAACTTTTTTACTTTCCATCGTCCGGACGGAGAGGCCCCGTCCGGACTTTTGTAGGGTAACTAGTTTCGCATCAAATCGTTTAAGTTTTCGCAAGACCCCCTGCGACCGGACCATGTCTTACACTTTTCTGCCTAAAAATGGTCCGGACACCCTGCTGACACTGTCCGAACGGCAGATCAGACCGTCCGTTTTGGATGCGCTGTTATTTGCGGGCGAGCCGCGAATTTGCTGAAAATCTCACCCATTACCGCGCCGCGGACTTTTGGTTGTGAAACTTACGATGCTCTACGATTGCAGTAATCCGTGTTACATTTTGCGGTGAAATTCATGATTTCGATTTGCGCAAAAAGTTCCACATTTGTGGTCCGGACGGGCTGTCGTCCGGACCTGAGTCACAACTGTCCGGACGAAGCCTCGTTCAGACGGTTTGGGGGCTCCGTCCGAACATTTGACAAACATTTGACAAAAACGGAAAAGGTTACACGCCCTTAGCATGCAACCATGTGCATTGAGACGTGTATATTCTAGTTATTTATTTATTTGTTTATCTTTTTTTTTTTTTTTTGGGCACCTCTTTCTCAATGCCCTAATGGCATCAACAACTACTTCTTGCCCCCCCTTATACCCGCTTGCCCCGTCCCCCTACCCCATTTTCCCCTCAATCCTTCGCCCCCATCTATTTCAGTGTTTTTATCCCCAGCAACATGTCTTGGCCCCTCATATTACGCGCTTGGCCCCTCATATAACGCGCTTGGCCCTCCCTCCTCCCCGTTTTTCACCACTTCCCACCATCTGTTCCAGTGATGTGAACACCAACAACCTGTCTGGGCCCCTCTATTACCCCGTTGGAACTCTTTCAAACATCAAGCTTATGTAAGTGGCGGCCTCTTCTTGCTGCTTCGTGCCCCCCAAAAGTCCTTGGATTTGGGCAGTCTATTGGGGGGGCCAGACAGGTTGTTGGGGGCGGTTACGGAGTAACACAGGATTTGGGCAGGCTATTCCTGTTTTGGAGACGTCTCAAAAACACCCTCTTTTCAAAGTCCTTGGATTTGGGCAGTCTATTGGAGGGGGCAGACAGGTTGTTGGGGGCGGTTACGGGTGGCAAGGGCCAGACAGCCCCCCTGTTTGCCCATCGGCAACGTGCCCCCGCAACAACTTCAGCAGATCGTTTCCCACCTCCATTCCATTCACGCCCAATCAAGTCAAGTCAACCTCAGAATCGATCCTACGTTGCACTGCCAAAACCCCCCCTTTCCTCCCCCTCCTGCTCGCCCTTGCTCGAATCGCAGCAACGTTGCCCGCAACAACTTCAGCGGATCGCTTCCCACCTCCATCTACACCCTCACCAGCCTGCAAGAGATGTACGTCTCGCTCTCTCCCTCCCAGTTGAAATCTCTTTTGCGATTTCTCAGAAGTGACTCTCGCTCTCTCCCTCCCTCTCCCCTCTCTCCCCTCACCCCCTCTCTCCCCTCACCCCCTCTCTCCCCTCACCCCCTCTATTTTCCCGTGACACACTCTCCCCGAGCCATTCTCTCATAAGCTTCCTTTCCTGCCTCTCTCTGCCAGCACCCACACCTCTTAAAGAGGCAACTTAAACATACATCATTCGCATCTCCCTCATCTTCTCCCCATCCCACCAACCCCCCTCCTCCCAATCCCTCCCTGCATGCAGGGACGTCTCAGAGAATTCTCTCGGGAGCTCCCTGCCTCGCTCTGCCAGCGCCCTCAGCTCAGCTCTTTGGAGTCCTTCAGTCCGCCCTTGGCTGGACTCCAACATTGTCTCCCCTCAATGGTTTCTCACCCCATCCCCTCTCCATGCACACACACAGGGACGTCTCAGAGAATTCTCTCGGGGGCTCCCTGCCTGTCTCTTCCAGCGCCCTTAGCGGCTTGCAAATGCTGTACGTTGGGGGATCTTGCCCCTGTGCAACCATGTGCAACCGCATGTAACCATGTGCAACCGCATGTAACCATGCGCAACCGCATGTAACCATATGCAACCGCATGTAACCATATGCAACCGCATGTAACCATGTGCAACCGCATGTAACCATATGCAACCGCATGTAACCATATGCAACCACGTGCAGGCAATCACATGCTCCCTGCCTCTCTCTGCCAGCGCAGTTAGCGGTTTGCAAATGCTGTACGTGGGAGTAGGCTGCCTTGTTTTCGTGAGAATTTTGTTGTCGTGGTTTGTTAAGTCCTGAGATGAGACGTCTCAAAACTTCCTAAAGATGCTGTAGGGTGGGTTGGGCTGACTGTCCTCTGAGCAACCAACCACGTGTAACCGTGTGCAGCCATGTGCAGTCCGATCCGCACAGCAAGGGCGCTGGGGAGGGAGGGAACCATTGCTTCTTGAGTTTACTCAGAAGTCACCAATGGTTCCTCCCTCCCCAGCACCCTACCAACTTGTATAGGCATCCCATCCGCACAGCAACAGCTTGACCCCACCCCACCCCACTCCACCCATCCGATCCCCATTCCATCACATGCCATCCCACCCCATCCCACCCTATCCCTCCCCACCCGATTCTACCCCATCCCATCCCATTCCATCCCGTCCCACCTTGCCCCACCCCATCCCATCCCTGCAGCAACCTGGTCAACAACCGCTTCTCTGGCGAGTTACCATCCTCTCTCGGCAATCTCACGAGCCTCACTCGCATGTAAGCACTCGCGTGTAAGCACTCGCATGTAAGCACTCGCGTGTTAGCACTCGCATGCAAGTAGAGACGAGCATTGTTGTCAGCAATGTTAAAGTCACTTTTGAGGATTCTCAAAAGTGACTTCAACATAGGTGTCAATGCTCTTGAGTTGAGATCTCTCAAAGGTGTGAGCAAGTAGTACCATACCATGCCATCCCTAGCAACCGCTTGCCTGGCAACTTACCATCTTGTCTGGCCAATCTCATGAGCCTCACTTGTATGTAAGCAAGCAGTGAACAGAGAACAGCATTGCTGCCAACAGGTGTGAGCAAGGATCTTGTTTTTTGGAATTCTCGGCAGCAACCTGCAAGTAAGTACGATTATAGCAACGGCGAGAGCGGGGAGAGAGAGAGAGAGTCTAGCATTCACCACGCTCGCCTGCATTTGACAGCTTGCATGCGAGAGAGGCTTGAGAGAGGGTGTTGAGCAAATAGACAGCAGCATGACTTGCTGCCTGTGAGCCGTCTCTCTCGCGCTAGTCGCACTCGCCGCTGTTTTGTGTCAAATCATCTGCCTGCCTGCCCCTGTGCGTGCCGGAAGAAGAATTGGCTTCTAGGGGCGTGCAAGAATTTATCAGAGGACACCTCCTTACAGCATCTGCCTGTGTGGCCCTGTGTGTGCTGTGCGCTGGGGAGGGAGAAACCTTTTGAGGCGCCTCAAAAGTCATCTGCCTGCCTGCCCCTGTGTGTGCAGGGCGCTGGGGAGGGAGGGAGGAACCATTGGTTCTTGAGTCCACTCAGAAGTCACCTCATTGCAGCATCTGCCTGCCTGTGTGCCCCTGTGTGTGTGCAGGGAGCTTCAAAAAAGCATCTGCCTGCCTGTGTGCCCCTGTGTGTGTGCAGGGAGCTAGGGAGGAACTCTTTCACGGGGTCTCTGCCAACTTCTCTTGGGAAACTCACTGCTCTCATCAACCTGTGAGTCTGCCGACCCTCTCATCTCCCCTTATGAGAAATCTCACAAAACTCGCTGCTCTTATCGCTAGAGCCGACTCACAGGGGAGCTGGGGAGGAACTATTTCACGGGCACCCTGCCAACCTCCCTTGGGCAGCTCACTGCTCTCGTCAACCTGTGAGTCTCCCCCAACCACGCCTCTCTTCCACCCCTCTTGAGGTGCCTCAAAACTCACTGCTCTCATCAACCGGTGAGTCAGCTTTTCATTAAATTCGATTTTGGTTTCCTCCCTATCCTCCCCCACCTCCCTTTCCCCATCATCAGAGGGCTACAGGGCAGCTTGCCAGAATGATTTATATCTCATTAAACTCATTGAATGATTCATATATCATTAAACTCATTGAATGATTCATATCTCATTAAACTCATTGAATGATTCATATCTCATTAAACTCATTGAATGATTCATATCTCATTAAACTCATTGAATGATTCATATCTCATTAAACTCATTGAATTATTCATACCTCATTAAACTCATTGAATGATTCAGAATGTTTCATGCCTCCTCCTCCCTACCCTCCCTTTCCTACCCTCCTTCCTTCCTTCCCTTGCCCTAAACCCTCTTTCCTTTCCCTCCTCTCCTCCTACTATCAGCGGGCTACAGGGCAACATGCTAGGAGGCTCCCTACCCTCACAGCTGGGAGCACTAATCAGCCTGAACACGCTGTACGTATCGCCATCGTGTCATGCATGTGTCGTGTCATGCTCGTGTCATGCTCGTGTCGTGCCCGTGTCATGCTCATGTCATGCTCGTGTCATGCTCGTGTCATGTTGAGTCATGATCGTATCGTGACTCAGTTTCATCCTCCCCTTTCCCTCTCCTTCCACCTCCCCCCCTCCCCTGTCCCCACTCAATCACACCAGTTACATCTCCAACATTCAATTCTGCTTTCGCAACCCCAATACCCCTCCCCCCCACTCTCCACCCACCACTCCTTCCGCCTCTCTCCCTCTCTCCACCCCCCTCCCCCACTCAATCACACCAGTGATGTCTCCAACAATTAGTTCCGGGAAGCACTGCCCGCAACCCCAATCCCCCTTTCCCCACACACACCTCCCACTTCTCCTTCCTTCCACCTACCCCCTCCCTCCTCCCCCTTCCCCCCACTCAATCAAACCAGTGATTTGTCTCCAACAATCAGTTCTGGGGCTCTCTTCTTGCCAACCTAATCCCCCTTCCCCCCCACTCTCCTTCCGCCTCCCCCAATCCCCCTTCTCCCCCCCTTTGCCTTAATCACCAGTGACGTGTTTAACAATCAGTTCTGGGACTCCCTTCCCCCTCCCCCTCAAAACCCGTTCCGCCCTCCTCTTTTCCCCCCATCTCACCCTCCTCTTTTCCCCCCCATCTCACCCCCCTCTCTCTTTCCCAAATCACCAGGGACGTGTCCAACAATCAGCTCCGGGGCGTCACTGTAGCGCCTCACAACTTATACCCCCTGCCTCCCGTCTCTCCTCCCCTCCCCCAATCACCAGGGACGTGTCCAACAATCAGCTCCGGGGCGTCACTGTAGCGCCTCACAACTTATACCCCCTGCCTCCCGTCTCTCCTCCCCTCCCCCAATCACCAGGGACGTGTCCAACAATCAGCTCCGGGGCGTCACTGTAGCGCCTCGCAACTTATACCCCCTGCCTCCCGTCTCTCCTCCCCTCCCCCAATCACCAGGGACGTGTCCAACAATCAGCTCCGGGGCGTCACTGTAGCGCCTCACAACTTATACCCCCTGCCTCCCGTCTCTCCTCCCCTCCCCCAATCACCAGGGACGTGTCCAACAATCAGCTCCGGGGCGTCACTGTAGCGCCTCGCAACTTATACCCCCTGCCTCCCGTCTCTCCTCCCCTCCCCCAATCACCAGGGACGTGTCCAACAATCAGCTCCGGGGCGTCACTGTAGCGCCTCACAACTTATACCCCCTGCCTCCCGTCTCTCCTCCCCTCCCCCAATCACCAGGGACGTGTCCAACAATCAGCTCCGGGGCGCAATTCCCCCCACCATTGGGAACCTCTCTGCTCTCACTGACCTGTAAGCACGCACACACACACACACACAACACACACACACACACACACACACACACACACACACACACATACACGTGATTGTCTTGTTTTTATGCTCTCACTGACCTGTACTCACTATGTCTCCCCCCTCACTATGTCTCCCCCCTCACTATGTCTCCCCCGTCACTTTGTCTCCTCCCTCACTTTGTCTCCTCCCTCACTTTGTCTCCTCCCTCACTATGTTTGCCCCTGAATCCCCTCAACCCCCTCAGTCCCCTCAACCTCCTCAATCCTCTCAATACTCTATCACCTCCGATACAGCAAACAGGCGGAACGGATCTCACGTGCCCTTCAGCAGCAGGACACCCCACCCCGCATGCGGCGTGTGGCAGGACCCCCTACCTACACAACACACTGTGCTCGCCCTTGCCTTGCCATGTGTGTGTGGCCTGATTTGGCCCCTCATTCCTCTTTATGCCCTCGGTTCCCCTCCCCGTCACCTCTGTTACAGCAAAATAGGCGGAACGGACCTCACGTACCCCTCAGCTGCAGGTCACCTGCCTTGCGGCGTGTGGCAGGACGCTTCCTCTCAACTCTGCTAGAGCTAAACCTCTATATTTTCTAAACCCTGAACCCTGTGCCTTCAACCCGAAACCCTACCCACAGCAAGATAGGCGGAACGGACCTCACGTGCCCCTCAGCAGCAGGGCACCCGCCTTGTGGCGTGTGGCAGGACCCCTCCTCTCTTTTGTCAGACCCACACCCTATTCACTAAACCTTGAACCCTGTGATCTGAACCCAAAACCCTACCCACACCACAACAAAATAGGCGGAACGGACCTCACGTGCCCCTCAGCAGGAGGGCACCCGCCTTGTGGCGTGTGGCAGGACCCCTCCTCCTCTCTCTTCTGCCAGACCAACACCCTACTCACTTAACCCGAAACCCTGTGCTCTGAACCCCAAACCCTACCCGCAGCAAAATAGGGGGCACAGGCATCACATGCCCGTCAGCAGCAGGCCGGCCGCCATGCGGTGTGTGGCAGGACCCCTCCTCTCTCTTCTGCCAGACCTGCCCCGCCTTCTGCGTCAACTGCTCCACTGCCGCCCTGCCGCCCAAGCCAGGTAGCAAGCCTCCAAGGTGATAAGTTGAAAGGTGGCGCGGTACAATAGGTACTAGGTAGGCAGCCAACAGCCGGCCACCCCTACCCACTGATTGGCGTGTGGTAGACTCATCGCTCCTCTCAATTCTGTCAGATTTTTTTTTAGTCGACTCAAAAGCAGCCGGCCACCCCTACCCACTGATTGGCGCGTGGTAGACCCCCCCTCCTCTCAATTCTGTCAGATTTTCTTTTAGTCGACTCAAAAGCAGCCGGCCACCCCTACCCACTGATTGGCGTGTGGTAGACCCCCCCTTCTCTCAATTCTGTCAGATTTTTTTTTAGTCGACTCAAAAGCAGCCGGCCACCCCCACCCACTGATTGGCGTGTGGTAGACCCCCCGCTCCTCTCAATTCTGTCAGACCTGCCCCGCCTTCTCTGCCAGCTGCTCCTCTGCTGCACTGCCGTTTGAACAACGTAACAAGGTAACCAGGTCACAAGGCTGGAAGGCTCCACTGCGGTGCTCATTGCAATCTGTCCCTCTTGCTGGCCTGGCCCTGTGCTTGTTGTTCCCACCTGCAGCAGCTCCCACCAGCCCACCCGCCGCCCCTTCTCCTCCCCCTGCTGCTGAATCATCCGCGCCCACCTCTCGCCAAGGCTTCATTGTCGGAGTCGCTGTGGGGGTAGCGGCGCTGCTGCTGCTGGGAGCTCTTGGAATCTATCTCTGGTTCCGATGCTCCTCCAAAGGTGTGTGTGTGTGTGTGTGTGTGTGTGTGCGTGCGTGCGTGCGTGCGTGCGTGCATGCGTGCGTGCGTGCGTGCGTGTGTGCGTGCGTGTGGCACCATTACCACTTTTCCAGGAGTGTGCATGTGTGTGTGTGTGTGTGTGCGTGTGTGTGTTTGTTTGTGCAAGCGTGTGGGTGTCTGTTTGCATATCCCTTGCCCCCTCTCTCACACGCATGCACTCACCTCTTCCCCTTCTCCGGTGCCCCATGCAGGCAAGCCCGAGGCTCCGCCCATCCCAAGCCAGGTCCTCATGTGTCGGAGCTACTTTCTCGACCAAGTCAAGAAGGCAGAGGATGTGCAGAAGCAAACGATATGTGCCCCACCCTCCCCCCTGCACCCACCCTTGTATGTCCCCCTTGCGCTCGCCCCTACCCTTACCCATGCAGGCAAGCCCGAAGCTCCCCACATCCCCAGCCAAGTCCTCATTTGTGGGCGCTACTCGCTTGACCAAGTCAAGGAAATGTGTGCTCCACCCCTCCTCCCTTCTCACTCCTCCCTTCTCACTCCTCCCTTCTCACTCCTGCCCTGCCCCCCTTCTCCTCACCCTTCCCCTGTGCCCCTGTGCAGGCAAGCCCGAGGCCCCTCCCATCCCCAGCCAGGTGCTCATGTGTCGGCGCTACTCCCTCGACCAAGTCAAGAAGGCCACGGGGGGATGGGCAGAGGCGAATCACATTGGGACGGGCGGGTATGGGGAGGTGTATCGGGGGGTGTGTCCGTTTGACGACTCAGTGGTGTGGGCTGTGAAGCGCGCCAAGATACTCACCAACGACTTCAAGCGAGAGGTATGCGTGCGGTGCGGTGTCACCTGAAACAGAATTTGCGTGTTCAGGGACTTCATTTTGAGGCGCTTTAAAAAGAAAATCCCTTTTCGTTCATCTTCCGTGCAGTGGAGGTGGAGGAGATGGCATCAAAGAGGCGCAATATTCTCGCTAGTTCACTGCCTGCCCGTCACGTTTCTTTCCTCATTCCCGTGCAGGTGGAGGAGATGGCATGGATGAGAAGAGGCTCGTCATTCTCATGAAATCATTGCCCACCATGCCACAACTGTCTTTCCTCCTCCATTCATTCCTCTGCAGGTGGAGGAGATGGCATCAAAGAGCCATCCGCACTTGGTGCGGCTGCTGGGGTACTGTGTGGACATGGACATGACAACAGAGCACCACGAGCAGATTGTCATCTATGAGTTCTGTGCCAATGGGGACCTCGAGAAATACCTTCATGGAGGTGAGTGGGCAGGCGTGGTAAGAGTTAATACATGTATGTATTATATGTTTTTTGTACTATATCATACTACATTATATTACATTACATTGTGTTATGTTATATTATGTCGTAATATGTTACACTATATTATACTAAGTTATATTTCTATATCATATTATGCATCTTATATATTTTATATTTCATAGATCCTCTGCATGTGGTAGATATACATATTTCATATACATATTAATACATGTATACAAAAATAGATCTATACATCTGCTTATGTGCATGTGTATGTGTATACATATGTATATTTCCATGCATGTATCTACATGTGTATACTTAGATGTATGAGGTTTTCCTCCAACAAGCTATTGTCGTATGCCAACGGCAGGTTCCCGAGAGGGAGAGTTGACGCTGCAGCAGCGCATGGATGTGCTGGTGGGGGTGGCGCGGGGGTTGGAGTACCTCCACCAGTTTGACATCGTGCATCGAGACATCAAGCCCGCCAACGTGCTGCTCGATGCCAAAATGCAGGTGAGGGGGAGGAAGGAGGGGTGTGATGGTTGAGTGCAGTGCAGTGCAATTGTGAGGGGAGGTGGCAGGGGGGTTGGACTGGAGTACCTCCACTAGATGGTCTCAGAATTAGGGCGATCTGATGCGCATGACTCGCGTTTAAGCTACCAATGGAGCTGATGTCCTACTTCATCCTCGCAACATAATGAAGCTGATGTGCTCTCCTGCTCCTTTGCCCCTTCCCCTACCATCAGGCCAAGATCTCAGATTTTGGGCTGGTGCGCATGGCAGGGCTAATGTGCTTTCCTGTGTCGCCCCCCTGTTGTTCTTTCATCTCCAGGCAAAGATATCGGACTTCGGGCTGGTGCGGATAACGGAGGGCACCACAGTGAATCCCACCCGAGTGGTCGGCACTCCGGGCTATGTGGACCCCGCTTACTCGCGCACCAACAAGGCCACGCCCATGGCAGATGTTCACAGGTGGGTGTTTAAGACAAGAGAAGAAAACACAAAGGCAAGGCCACTCTTGTTGCTGATGTGCACTGGTGAACTGCAGGCTCTTCGTTTCCTCTCTCCCTTTCTCATCCCAATTCTCACCTGCGGTACATTGCTGCTGAATGTGCGGTACATTGCTCCCCACCTGCGGTACATTGCTGCTGAATGTGCCAACACTAGGCGATGTTCTCTTAAACTGAATGACATCATTTAAAACCCACCGTGCTTTATTCCTATTTGCAGCTATAATGTGCTGCTATTGGAGGTGATAACGCTGAAGCCTCTCTAATTGTGTTGCTGCAATGGAAAATATAGCTCGTTTCCCCCATGCGATTCTCTTCCCACCGCAGCTACGGTGTGCTGTTATTGGAGGTGATAACGCTGAAGCCAGTCATCCTCTCTATGAATGGCGCTCAATACAACATCAAAGACTGGGTACGTGTTTGCATGCATCAATGCTTACACCGGGAACTGTGGTTTACACTTACAGCAGTAATGTGCGCTCTTATTCACACAACTACATCTGTATGTACACATATATACATGTGTATATGTTGATGCTCGAGTTTATTTTTTATGCGCCTCAAAAATCAACTCACTTTTTAGGCGCCTCAAAAATCAACTCACTTTTGAGGCGACTCAAAAATCAAACTCACTGTCGAGGCGACTCAAAAATCAAACTCACTTTTGAGGCCCTCAAAAATCATATATACATGTGTATAGTTGATGGTCGAGTCTCGTAGCACATCTGGTCGCTTTACATCTACCCGCCCGTTCCTTCCCTGCCATCCGTCCCTTGGCCCATCCAGGTTCGCCCGTTTGTGGAGGAGAGCAGGGTGGCAGCATTCAAGGACCCCCTCCTTCCGGAAGCTTGTGACGATCTCATTCTCTCGCTCGCCAAGATCGGCCTCCAATGCACCACCCTCCCCGCCTCCTCCCGACCCCCCATGTCCGAAGTTTCCCGCAAGCTCGAAACCCTAAAAAGGGAGCATTTTCACAGCAGCGGCATGGACGGCCGAGATCCGTCGGACGTGGACCAACGACTGGCTAAGATTGATCAGGAGCTTGACAGGCGGGCGGAATCAGGATTGTCGATCCAAGCGGAGTTTGTTCGGCTGAATATTATGTCGGAAAGTGGGGAGTATATTAAGGAGACTGGGATTTCTGTTGCTACTGGTGGTTACTCCAACCGGTCTTCAGGGGTGCTGCTGCAGTCTCAGGAGATTTCCCAGGAGTTCTGTCAGGAGATTCCCAGTGGCAGGTGAAAGACTAGCAGCAGCAGCAGCTCTAAACCATCTGTGAGAAATGCACTTCCTTTTTTGTAGTGTGTTTTCTTTTTACAGCACTACTGTCGCACTGTTTCTGAAGTGTGCTTTTCTTTGTACCTATGTCAGGTACAAAAACTGAATGTAACTCGGTTTGGCTTGTGCAACCAGCATTTGCTTGGTATTGAAACTAAGTAATATTCATCATTTGGTATGCATACTGCAACACCCAGTTTTGAGTGGATTTGAAGTCCTTACATGTCACATGTGAAAGTATTTTGAACGGTGCCCGCTGCAGAATTAAATTGTTATGTATTGAAATCTCCTGTGGAATAGAGGTAACACATAAAGGTGAAAATTACTCCTTTAGGAACATTGGTATACAAGCCCTACAATATGCACCATGTAATTATGAATCATGTTACATCTAGTTTGGACTGTACTGCAGTTGGTGTTTTGAGTGAAATTAATCCTGAAAGAATGTTATGCATTGACTGAAATCTCCTGTGGAAAAAGAGAAAATCACTCAAAAAGGAACTTCGGCGGAAGCATGAACATTGGTATACAACAAGCCCTACGCTGTGCATCAGAGAGGCGACCTCAGGTTCCCCCTCCAGCATCATGACTAATTCCCCTCGCCCCACAGGTGTACTCGCCAGTGCCATCATGCCATGTGCTCTTGTCATGTTTACTTTCACTTCTTGGGTGCAGCCTCGGTCGCTGCAGGCTCCTGAACACCCTGTGAGGAATAATGAAGAGTGAGGGACAGGAAAAAAAGAGTAGAGATGATAAGGAGAAATTGGGAGGGAGTTGGGAAGGAGAAACGGAGGGGGGATGGGAAGGAGAAATGGAGAGGGGAGATGAGGAGGAGATCAAGAGGGACAGGGAGGGATGGCAAGCGGGGATGGAGGGGGGGATGATTGGGGATGGGAGACGGGGCAGAAAGGAGGGAGTTAAAAAAAACAACTTGTACACTTGTGCAAATTACCCCAACCACCCCATTTCACCGCACTCCACTGACTCTCAGTCACCCCTCCCGGCACCAGGTAATTTCTCCGGGAACAACGCCTTGCCAAACCTCAGAAAGAAGGAAGAGCCTTTCCCCGGCACAGAATGCCCCAGACTCGTACACTGGTTTTTGAGTCCACTCAAAACGGCACAGCATGCCCAAAACTCCCATTGACACTCGCCTCAAAGCCCGTTTTAGTTTTTGAATGCAAACCCCAAACCAAACTCTTCTTCTTACTTTCCCTTCCCCCCTCACCCTTCCACCCCTCCTTCCCTCTCTCCTTTTTCCCTTCCCCTTCCCCTTCCCCTTCCCCTCCCCTCTATCCTTTTTCCCTCCCCTTTCCCCTTCTTGTACACGCCACCCGGAACCGCACTCAACCACTCACGACCACCCCGCACCGCACTTAGCCACTCATTACCACCGCACTCATCCGCTCACAACCTCCCCGCACCGCATACACCTCTCAAAACCGTTCCACAACGCACTAAGCTCACCTGAGCCAACCGCTCCTCCCGCCGCGCCATCTTCCGCTCGCGCGACGCCTTGCTCTTGGCGCGGCGCGCCTCGAACTGATCCGTGAGCGTCTTCTCGCGAACCTTCTCCGCCTTGAGCTTGTGAATGCTCTCCATGAGCACGCGCTTGTTCTTGTACACGCCACCCTTGACCTTCATGTACAGCTCGTGGTACAGGTGCTTGTCGATCTTCTTCGCCTCGCGGTACCGCTTCAGCATGCGCCGCAGCACGCGCATGCGCCGCATCCACAGCACCTTCGTGGGGAGACGCGCCTCACGGGTACCGCGGCGCTTACCTGGAACGGGCGGGGAGTGGGGCGCGGGGGGGAGGGGAGAAGGGCGGGGGGGGGGGGGGAGGGGGTGGGCGGGAGGAAGGGGGAGGAGGAGGCAAGGAGGCGACGGGATGCCGGTGAAATACCACGCAGACGTCAAATCCTACACCCACCCTGACTTGAATATGCCGGCCTGAAATCCATCCAACCGTTACATTAACTGTTTCAAGTCCGTCGAATAGGCTCTTCACTCATCAGAAGCCAACCAGTCCCCTTGAAAAGCCCTTAGAATTCCTCTCTGCACGACTCCACCCTACGCCAGCGCCTGAAGCAACGCCGCTTGTACTACCATCGCGAGTAGAAACGAGCTGCTCGCTGTAACATCGCGACGGCCTCTATGTGTAACGTAGGAACGCCACGCTCGAATCGACTTCGGCGAAAACTCCACGCTGTGCCTAGAACATCAACTTAGGCGAAAACCCCACGCTATGCGAAATCCTGCAGCCCCGTTGGCGAGCGCGGCTTGCAGCGCCGTTAAGAAGCACCGAAAAGCGACTCAACAGCTGACGACTCGATGACAGATGCGACGGCTGCTTGCATCTACTCCACAACGACAAAGGCGACAAACGCTGGACAGCGACGCTCGAAATCGATAAGCAACGCGACGACCGCTTGCAGCGACACAACGGGGCCCTCTACCTCACCCTACGTTGAATCGCTTCAGCTCCACCCATTTCCGCGACTAACAGTCTGCTGCGCCGCCTGAGGGAACTTAGTCCAAACCCGCGAACAGCTTGTTGATGCAAAAGAATCGCGTAAGCGCACTCCATCGACGTTCATCCCTCCACTCGTCAGTCCTCAATCCGAAAGTCCTACAAAGCAGTAGGATCCGAAACTGAGACGGCTCGGCCTCCTACGAAACCCTAGGTTCCGACCTCGGACGGCTTAGCACCCTGGTGCGCAGCCCTAGGGCCCGGCAGCCGTGCACCGATGACGACGCGCCCGTGTGAACAATACCTTGTCTATCGTTAGAATAGCTTGTTACTTGAGCCAGTGTGTCGGCCCTTCGCCGCCACAAATCACTATCCGTATCACTACCAAGTCAGTCCCTGTCAATCCCTACCGTGGGTGGTGTGCCGGCTCTCCCGCTGAGCCTAGAGGAGCCGGCACACCACCCACGGTACGCCAAACAGACGGTTTACCGAGAATTACACAAAAAAAAAGGTTACTCGTGGCTGTACCCTACAAATCACGTAGCCTTACCGTGGCCGGTATGGCGGCCCTTCCGCTTGGCCTCGAGAAGGCGGCGCGCGCGGAAGCGCGAGTGGATCTTCTGCGGCTTGCGGATGATGAAGCCATCCTTGATGAGCTTGCGGATGTTTTGCCCTGCACGGGGGGGGGATGGGGAGAAAGGGGGAAGAGGGGCGGGGAAGGTGAGGGAGAGATTATAGGAGAGGGGAAGCATCTTCTGCGGCTTGCGGATGATGAAGCCGTCCTTGATGAGCTTGCGGATGTTTTGCCCTGAAGGGGGGAACGGGGGGGGAAAGGGGGAAGGGGAGGGGGAGGGGGGGAAGGGAGAGGTGATGGGGAGTGGAAGGTGAGACTACAACATGAGAGGGGAAGCATCTTCTGCGGCTTGCGGACGATGAAGCCGTCCTTAGAGCTTGCGGATGTTTTGCCCTGAACGGCAGGAAGCGAGGGGAGAAGGGGGAGACGGGGGAGGAGGGGGGGTGAAGAGGGGAGCGGAAGAGGGTTCAAGACGGTAGACCTCGGTCGATTTCTTGCAATTCTCATATTAGCTTGCATTTGCCAAGTCGTCCGTGGGTAAATTCCGAATGCCTCGCCAAGGACGAGCGGAGAAAGGTGACCCAGCAAGATCTCCGAACCACGAAGCTAGTATCGCGTTCTCAACCCAACGACCTAAACTCAACCGCGATGAAGTGACATGTAAGTCACTCGAACGCGAAAATGCGGTACATGCGGATATGCAAGGAGAAGCTGGATTCACGAATCCCGAGATAGACGTTTCGTATTTGGAAGCCGAGAACGGAGCTATTTGGAGGACTGGCCGAAGGAAACTGGCAGCGCATAACAGTGGTATCTTAGCCAAAAAGGAGCGGCGATAGTGAAACGATGAGCGTGGAGCGATGACGGTGGAGCGAGGCGAGAGGAGCGACGAGAAAGAAGCGATGCGAGAGCGGAGTAAGGGTGGGGCGAGGTTGGGGCGAGGGTGGGCCGAGGGTGAGGCAAAGCGACGACTAGGGGAGGGCGAGGAGAGGAGACGCACTGGAGTTGGCCATGGAGATCTCGTTGACTTCATTGGGATCCATCCACACCTTGTTCTTCCCGCAGTTCAGCACGCTCGACGCGAGCCGCTTCTGAAGCTTAAGCGACACCATGGCTGCTGCGTTGTCTTCAGCTAGGTAACGATGTCAGGAAACGGACTAACCCTAAGACGAGCGCGACGGCCTTAGGAGCCGGAAAAGAGGAGGCGAAAAAGAGGTAAGCCTAGTTACTTACACCCTCGCGAGGAAGGCAGAAGGGGGAGCAGGGGAGTGCGGGCGGGGGAAGAAGGAGAATAGTGCGGGGGGAGCGAAATGGGGAGAGGGGAGCGGGAGAAGGGAAAACCAGCGGAAGGGAGAACAAGGAAATGGCGGAAATGTCGAAGGGGAGGCGGAAATGGGGATGAAGAGGGAGCATAGAAATCGGCGAGCAGTGGGAACGGCGCAAGACTGAGGGCGGTTGGCGCACCTTGTGAGCGGTGGACAGTGATCACGGGCGGAGCACTGTATTCGCTTTAGCGAAATCAGTTGCAACTGCGACGAACTTTTTTGTGATGAACTCATACTTCCGTCTGGTGGTCAGCCACCGGGCGGAATGGAGGTGATGCACGCACGCAATGTAGTTACTTCCGAATTACGATTCGCCAGCCCAACAAGGATGTCGCGTACCTCGCGCACGCCTTCCGCGAGACGTAAACCCTTAGCCGAGATTCGGGGTTTTGGCATAACAGGGTGTTACCCTCCTTCTCGCGAGAGTCTCCTACAGTTACGGTCTCAGAACATTGAATATAAAACAGTAATATGATGAACCGTACTAGTTCGCATGCATTAAACAAAACACGGCAGAAACACTAAACCCTTTTGCTCCACATACCTACCTGTTTCGGCGAGGGCACCCCTTGCGTATATTCCCACTTTCCTACTTCATTCGATTCAAACTGTTAAACAAATTGGTTTCATAATCCCACATCTATCCTTCTTCCTCATTGATTTTACATTTGCTGGTTTAGGACAAAGCTCTATCAGCAAACCAGCTATGAAACGAGTTCGTTATTCATCAATTTACAAAGCTACACACATCTCACACAACACAGCGTATGGAACACAATGCACCCTGGTACGTAGTTGCATAATGCTGCTTTCGCCCACCCCCGCATCCACATAGCTTAGCGCTCCATGGCCTTTCTTCCTGCTCTGACTGGCATGCTCCATGTCCCATCTCTCTAATCACACAGCGCAGCTTCCAAATCCCCTGTATGGCGCAACCCAGTAAAGAGTTGAAATAAAAACAGCAGCATCTTTCAAGAGCTGTGTCAAGATGCCTTACTTGCACCTCGCCAATCTTCGCTCTGTTCTTTCTCCTGCCTACAACCTACGCCATTTCATGTTGTCATACCGTAGATCTCTCCCCAAAACATCTCCTTTATGGAGCAGCGCAGCACGCATCAGAAGTACCCGCGCAGCAATTCTCTTCCTGCGCCTCCTCAACAAGCGGCCTTTCTGATGAGTTCTTCCGCCTCTTGGCACCAAAAACGAAGAAGCCAATAGTGAGGCCGAGAACGACCGCGATAAAGAGGCCGATGTTGAAACTCATGACAATGAGCATGATAGCATAGCTGAAGATGAGGTTGAGCGCGTATATGCCCGTCACTGCCAGCCGGTCCAGGAGCGGCCGCCAGTGGCATGCCTTCTTGCTGCTGGCGTCCTCAGCGTCGTCAGCACTGGAAAGGGGAGTGGGAGAGGGCGGAGAGAGGGGGACGAAGCCAGCTAGCTCGTATTTTGCTCGAGGAGAGGCGGCCGCTGACAGGCCTACCGGCTGCTGGCGCCCTCAGCGTCGTCAGCACTGGAGAGGGGAGTGGGAGAGGGTGGACGACGAAGCCAGAAAGGTGCTAATGATATCTGCAAGAGGAAGAGGTAATGAGCGTAGCAAGAGGAAGGGGTAATGAGTACAGCAAGAGGAAGGGGTAGTGAATGTAGCAAGAGAAGAGGTAATGAGTCTAGCAAGAGGAAGAGGTAGCGAGTGTAGCAAGAGGAAGAGGTAGCGAGTGTAGCAAGAGGAAGAGGTAGCGAGTGTAGCCAGAGGGAGTGACAGTGAGTGTAGCAAGAGGGAGTGGTATAGGAAGCAGGGAGGGGCAGAGAGCATAGCAAGACGGAGTGGTGGTGTGGGTAGAGTGGCAGTGGTAGAGGGAGCAATACAGGAGACGGGTGAGGGTAGAACAGAGAGCAATAGGGAGTGATGAGCAGTGCGCAGGGAGGAGAGAGGAGGCAGGAGTGTGACAGAGAGCGATACAGGGGGCAAACGGGCGAGATGGCGGCAATAGCAGCGGCAATAGCAGCGGCGAGAAAACACAACCGTGAGAATGTGCAAGAAGGGAAGGGAAAATGAGAGAGGAGGTCGAGGGAGGAAGCGCAAGGGAGAGAACCGCATCAGCTTCACTTACCCTTGCTCGGCGTCCTTCACGCGGCATCGTCGGGTAGAGGACAGCTTCAGCCGGAACGACGTGAGGAACTCGTGAAGCACGCAGAAGACAACAACGAGGAAGCACGCGAGGAGGTAGAAGCCCCAACTGCTGGTCTTCCAACTCTCGAACAGAATAATCACGTTCGGGCCCCAGTAGAACCACATCTGCATCATCATCATCGACATGCTCCCGCCAGATGCGCTGCTGCTGGTGGTGGTGGGATTATCTGGGTCGTAGCTGGGGCTCGACGTATCCGCTCCGGTTGAACCTCCGCCCATGGAGCTCATGTCGTGACCCATGGAGCTCATGTCGTGATCCATGGCTGCTGCTTCCGGTTTATCAGATGAGTATTGGTCGAGTGCGAGGCGTGTCGGACCGGGATTTTCAGGACTTTTTTTTTTTCTTTGAGAAGGTCGGCTGCTGTCCGTATGGTCCTCTACTACAACCGCAATAGTTCTCTAGTGTTATCACGTTTAGAGTTTGACGCGCCCCAGCCCTTGATTTCTGAGACACTTTTGAAAATTCTCAGCAGTGATAAGTGGGAATCCGCAAAAGCTGGAACTCTGAGGCAATGTGGATAAGCCGACCCGACTGGAGGTCCGGGTCACGACTAAGGCAACAGGAACGACGCGCGGGGAGGGAGAAAAAGGCGTTGCACAAAGGAGACAATCTCGCCTAAGGAGTTGAACAAATAATGTTCTTTATATCCTTCAATGGCTGCGAGCCAGAGGTCTCGAGGAAAAATATCTTGCTGATCTTCCGATCGTTCTAACAAAAAGTAGATACAGAAAGCTCTAGCTTGTCGCAAAGTTGGAGGTTTCTCGTTCTGTTTCCTCTCCGCAATCACCGTCAATTGGAGAATGTTTGTGAACTGATCATCATGCCAGGGTCTGGCTGGAGAGTAGCTGGTCGTAGTAGAGAAGGGAGCTGCAGCCTTGTTTAGCTGATGAGAAAAGTATTCGCGTCAAATCCCAAGGTTCTAGTTTGTTTGTACAGTACGAGTTGACATGTCCCCACAGAGCACATACACATACGTACAGTCTCCTCTCTTCTAAACAAAATGGCCTTACGAGCTCCGTGCGGTGGTGAGTCTGGGGAGAGGAGAGGGAGGGAGGAGAACGGCAAGAAGGAAAGAATCGTACAGTAGCACGTACACTCCCTCCAATGTGCTTCGTACAAGACATGATACCGTACGCAGCTGTCATCCCGTAACCAGGATCCTGTGCGGGATGACAACTGCTAGTGATTGGTGCGAAAGACCAGTCAGCACTGCCCACATAGCTGACTTGGAAGAAAACAAAATTTAGTGTTTCGTGAGAACTTTCCAAGCGACGCGGGAATGCGAGGAGTGCACTAACACGGTCGCGGAAACTCGTCGTGGGTCCTGGCTGTCGGTCATGCTCACCACGCCGCGGCTCGGGAATCTGTGGTTGACTACAATTTGTGGTCGCAGTACGCTCTAGACCGTAGTCGCAGTACTAATTGCAGCTCGTCTGCTCGAACCCTACAGTGCAGTCTGCTCTAAACTGTAGTCGCAGCTCTAATTGCAGCTCGTACGGTCCAAACGTGACCACATTCTTACGAGAACCCAATGGAAGTACACGTAGAATTGTCAGCTTCATATGCGTCCCCCATGCCGTGCAGTTCTCTGAGATTGGCATTTGAATACGCCTCAACTAATCTTCAGGGTCGTCGTACAAGGTACGACCGATTCGGAGGGTGACCAGACCAGCTGAGATGGCAAAGCATTACTGGGTCAACGGATTCTGCTCGTACATCCGCGAAACGGAATGACGCGACAAACTGGCATAGACGTGTCGTGTTGCATAGATCGGCTTCACCTGAATAGATTTTCACAAGGGCAAAAACAATATGGGGCGTTTAAATCTTAAGCCATACGTTGGAAAGGGCATCTATGCATTGTGCTTTCTGTATAATTATACATCCAAGTTTCATGTTTTCATGCACGTCAATGAATTAGCATATGTTGATGCATGGACCATGCTACGGAACCACTAACAACGGAGGTGGGCTGTTAGATGTACATCTCACGTTCAGATCTCCACGGCTTCTGTCTGGTCAACCACCCGCCGCACCCTCACATACACATCCGTGCCATAGCCTGGAATGCTGACCATCTGGAGTTTTGTGGAAATGTTCAGGATGGTGAGGCAAACAGCAAACACAAGGGGGGATTCGTGTCGGTCGGTTGTGACACTACAACTGAACTGGGCGAAAAGCAATCCAAAAACTAGATCACAGGCGGATAATGACAATGATGATGCAAATACTGAACTAATTTCAACCCTAATTCACTGCATAATCCTCAATGTTGCCATCTATCCGTACCTTAGCTGTGCCCTTTGCGTCTCAGCATCGTGACCCACACCTCAACCTCCATGCACACCTCAATAACGCCACCCGCATCCCAATACAGCACTGCACACCTCGATATTGCCGCCAAGGTACTGCGCCAGCAACCGCGAGTAAGGCAGCCCGAATCCCAGCCCTGCCATGGGCGTCCCTTGAGAATCCACAGGGCCACCAGCTGATGGGGGAAGATAGGGGTTGGATGGCAGATTTAGGAGGTCACTGACAAACAAGCAGCCCAAATCCCAGCCCTGCCATGGGCGTCCCCTGAGAATCCACAGGGCCACCAGCTGATGGGGGAAGAAAGACGGTTGGATGTCAGATTTACGAGGGCACTGACAAACAAGTCACACAAGCAGCCCAAATCCCAGCCCTGTCATGGGCGTCCCTTGAGAATCCACAGGGCCACCGGCTGGTGAGGGGGGGGGGTGTGTGTGGAGGGGTGATTAGTTGGTATAGGACAAGGGGCTTGGCTGGTGGTTTGAGGGCCATTCACAAAGATGCATCCGAAATCCCAGCCCTGCCATGGGCGTCCCTTGAGAATCCACAGGGCCACCGGCTGATGAGGGGGGGGGGGGGGGGGGGGGGGGGGGGGGGGGCCCTCCCAAATCCCATCCCAGCTCAAAGCCCAGCCCAGGCCAAGCCTCAGCAAGGTCATAAGCCGAACCTGCTGATCTCAGGGTGCTGGAGGTGCTGACGTCACCCTCCACTGACGAATAGCCATAGCGCCACACCTTGGATTGCAGCTTCTCTGGAATGCCCCCTCCCAAATCAGACACCTGGTGCCATGCAGGCGTAGGGTGATGGGATGGGGAATGGGGGTTGGGACAGGGATGGGATGTCATGAGGAGAGGCTCATGGGGCGGGGGATGAGATGAGGGTTGGGATGGGAGATGGAATGAAGGATGGGATGGGATGGGATGGGATGGGAATGAGGGACGGGTGACAGAATTATTGCTTTTTAAACCAGAAACTGGATGGATGGATGGATGGATGGATGGATGGATGGATGGATGGATGGATGGATGGATGGATGGATGGATGGATGGATGGATGGATGGATGGATGGATGGATGGATGGATGGTTGAGTTGACTCAGACAGACAAAATACACTGCGTGGCATGCACTCGCCTTGATTGTTACTTCATTGGATCCGGAACAGACTGTGACTATAACGGGGGGGAACTTCGCTGAAGAGGAAGGCATCGAGTCCCCTGATTGGTCTGTGTAATGCTCCACTATTGCTCGTGAGGCATTCTGATTGGATGGAGGGGTGTGGAAGGACGAAAGAGGCACGTGGGGGATGTGAGGCGCGAGTCCTCTGATTGGTCTGTGTAATGCTCCACTATCGCTCGTGAGGCATTCTGATTGGACGGAGGGGTGTGGAAGGATGAAATAGGCATGTGGGGTGTGTGAGGCACAACCTTAAAACGAGTACAAAAGTGGGGTGTGAGTCGACTCAATTACATTTCGGCTTGGGGAGCAGCCAAAAGCTTAAAACGCGTACAGAAGCTCATCTTGCCATCTGCGGGTCAAAACTTGCAGTGGAGGTGAAAAAGGGCGCCTGCAGAAAGGGTGTTGTTATTCCCGATGAAGGCGATTTTAGGGCAGCAGCCAGCCAAAGAGCTTACAGCGAGTACAGAAAAGGCTCACCTTGAGAATCTCAAAGAGCATGTAGTGCAGGTGCGAGGGGATGTGGGCAAATGAGCTGTTGAGGTCCCCTGTGAGCACGAACTCAGGGACAAGCTTATAACGGGTACAGACATCACTCACCTTGAGAATCTCAAAGAGCATGTAGTGGAGGTGAGGTGAGAGAGGATGTAGAAGAATGAGGTGGTGAGGCTTACTGTTTCGAGACACCTTATAATGAGTACCAGCAAGAGCGTACCTTGAGAATCTCAAAGAGCATGTAGTGCAGATGTGAGGGGATGTAGGCAAAGGAGGTGCCGAGGTCCCCTGTGAGCACAACTCAGAGCAGCTCAGGAGCTCACCTTGAGAATCTCAAAGAGCATGTAATGGAGATGTGAGGGGATATAGGCGAATGAGGTATTGAGATCCCCTGCGAGCACGAATTCAGGGCAGCAGCCTAACGTCCTCGTGCACATGTCAAAGCTTATAACGAGTACATACAGAGCTCACCTTAAGAATCTCAAAGAGCATGTAGTGGAGACGTGAGTGGATGTAGGCGAATGAGGTATGGAGGTCACCTGTGAGCAGGAACTCAGGGCAGCAGCTAAAGAGCTTAATAAGAGCGAAGACAAGCCTCACCTTGAGAATCTCAAAAAGCATGTAGTGGAGGTGCGAGGGGATGTAGGCAAAGGAGGTATGGAGGTCCCCCGTGAGGACGAACTCAGGGCAGCAGCCAAACGTCCTCGTGCACATGTCAGTCGCCTCCTCCACTGCATCTTCGACGACCTCCCGCGCTGACATCTGATGATGATGGTGAAGGGAAGAGGAAAGAAGGGCGTGGGGTGTTAAGGCGCCTGCAAACTCATGTTGTTTGTTCCTCGTGCACATGTCAGTCGCCTCCTCCACTGCATCTTCGACGACCTCCCGCGCTGACATCTGAGGATGATGGTGAAGGGAATAGAAGGGCATGAGGGGATACATAAGGTCCTGAAAAGTCATGCTGCTTTCCTCCTCAAATCATGTTATGTTTGAGACGACTCAAAAAACCCAACACGCTCAACACAAGCACACTCACTCACTCACATTTGTGCAGGGATCAATGTTCATCGTGGAGTAGCTGCAAACCTGTGAAAAACTCTTAAGCAAAAGGATCAAGACTGTGAAACTGATTCCCAGAAAATTCAAGAAAATCTCACAACCACCAAACTCAGAAAAACCCTTTTTCGCAAACCGGTTTCGGCCTTCGGGACAGAACCCCTTAGGCCTTCATCAGTGCTGCTTACAGGTTCAACAAGAAAGAAAGGTCACGGACAGAAGCTAGCTAAGTACCGTGCTACTGCCCTCGAGATCTACTCAATGTACACCAACTACCCAGATTGCAGTTCATAAGCAATCGCCAACTAAGCATGGGGGTAAACCCAATGTGCCGTGTCAGCCTTCACGAAAAGTCTTCAAACGACTTGGTCGGTTCGGTAACCGCGCACGCACCAGTAACCTTTGCAGGTTACGAGAACACTTCCAAGCAGTTAAAATTCTCTCCACATAAAATCCGCGTGAGCTGAGACGATTTTTGAGGCGCCTCAAAAATCGTCTCAGCTCACGCGGATTTTGAGGCGCCTCAAAAATCATTTGTGCAGATGACCCCGATGTACCCTGGTCTCTTTTGCTGCAGGGCGATGTGTTGCTCTGCCACCACCCACCCTCGGAGTGAGTTCTGTTTCCTACTCCAAAAACACTCAAGGGAGGCACAAGCACTTTTCACTCACGTTGGTGCAGATGACTCCAATGTACCCGGGTCTCTGCTGCTGCAGGGCGATGAGCTGCTCTGCCACCACCCTCCCTCGGAGTGAGTTCTGTTTCCTACTCCAAATACACTCAAGGGAGGCACAAGCACTTTTCACTCACGTTGGTGCAGATGACTCCGATCTACCCGGGTCTCTTCTGATGCAGGGCGATGAGCTGCTCTGCCACCACCCTCCCTCGGAGTGAGTTCTGTTTCCTACTCCAAATACACTCAAGGGAGGCACAAGCACTTTTCACTCACGTTGGTGCAGATGACTCCGATCTACCCGGGTCTCTTCTGATGCAGGGCGATGAGCTGCTCTGCCACCACCCTCCCTCGGAGTGAGTCTTTTACTACTCCAAGCCCACTCAACATAGTGAGGTTTGAATCGACTCAGAACCCACTCAGAACAAGCACTTTTCACACACGTTGGTGCTGATGATTCCAATGTACCCTGGTCTCTTCTGCTGCAGGGCGATGTGCTGCTCTGCCACCACCGCTCACTCAACGTTCGTGCAGATTTAGGTTGGGTCAACACAAGCCCCCACACACACTCACGTTGGTGCAGATGACTCCAATGTACCCCGGTCTCTTCTGCTGCAGTGCGATGTGTTGCTCTGCCACCACCCTCCGACTGATTCTAGACCGCAACCTGCCAGCACACAAAGGAAGAAAGTGCTTTTACACCGTGTTCTTGAGAGTAAACCTTTGACTGACAAGAAAAGCGGCTGTTGACTTGGAGGACATCACAATACATTGCACCAAAAAGAAAGAAAAAAAAAAAAGAAAACGAGAAGAGAAAGAAAAGAAGACATATCACAACATGCATCAAGAAAAAAGCAAAAAAGGCATGGTCATATAGTATCAGCACGCCCATGAGAGGCTTGGGACCTGCCTAGGAGTTTCTTGGAGACCCCTGCTCTCTGAGGCTACATGACTGCCTAGCTGGCTCACATGTTACCAAAGCACTCACATGCTATCGAGGAAGCTATCGAGGTTGAGTTCTCGTCCCACCAGTGGCCGAATAGAGCACTCTCTCACTCCGCGGGCCAGCACGCCTATCAGAGGCGTGTGCTCCTCCACCAGCTGTGGAGGGGGGAGGGAGATAGGAAGGGAGTGTGAGGGAGGTGAAGGGCAGAACGCCGGGACGTGGGCTCCTCCACGAGCTGTGTGGGGCAAGAGGGAGGTAGGGAGGGAGTGAGAGGGAGGTGAGAGGGAGGTGACTCAAGAGGGAGATAGGGAGGGAGTGAGAGGGAGGTGACTCGAGAGGGTCAGAAGGAAGCATTCCCTCACACCACGGGCCAACACGCCAATGAGTGGCGAGGGCTCCTCCACGAGCTGTGCGGGCGAGGGAAAGTGAGAAGGGGATAGAATTCTAAGAAGGGAGATAGGGTTAACCAAAGGCTCTCTCTCGCGCCCCAAAACAAACACATGACGGGAGAGGGATGAAAAGGGGGATGAAAAGGGGGATGAAAAGGGGGATGAAAAGGGGGATGAAAAGGGGGATGAAAAGGGGGATGAAAAGGGGGATGAAAAGGGGGATGAAAAGGGGGATGAAAAGGGGGATGAAAAGGGGGATGAAAAGGGGGATCAAAAGGGGGATGAAAAGGGGGATGAAAAGGGGGATCAAAAGGGGGATGAAAAGGGGGATGAAAAGGGGGATGAAAAGGGGGATCAAAAGGGGGATGAAAAGGGGGATGAAAAGGGGGATCAAAAGGGGGATCAAAAGGGGCATCAAAAGGGGGATCAAAAGGGGGATCAAAAGGGTGCACTCCCTCACCCCATGCGCCAGCACGCCTATGAGCAGCGTGTGCTCCTCCACCACTTGCTCAAGTGAGAGAGGGTGACAGGAAGAGGGTGTGCTCCACCCACCACCCACCACTCACCAGCGCCAGCAGCTCTGTGAGCTTCTCGTTGTCTCATGCGTCCGCACCTAAAAAAATCTGGCCATGCAAGCACTCACCCACCCACTCACCTATCAGCCATCTCTCGTCTTCCACCCACACCCACTATCCACCACTCACCAGCGCCAGCAGCTCTGTGAACTTCTCATTGTCCTCATGCGTCCGCACCTCCGGGAATGCAACCAGCAGGTCTAGCGCCCTGCGGTATGAGTCATAGACCTGAGAGGGGAATATTCGTAGAGGAAAGAGAGGAGAGGAGAGGAGACAGGTGATGGGGTGTCCGCACCTTGGGAATGCAACCAGCAGGTCGTAGAACTGGAGAGGGAGGCGCTTGCCATGCTGACGCAGACCAGCAGGAATCGCAGGACAATGAGGCGCTTGGCCACGCTGACGTGGCATCTACAAAGTGATGACGTGGCACCTGCTTGATGTGCGGGTTGGTGACGACGATGTAGGGCAGGAACTGCAGATCCATGAGTCGCTTCGCGAGGCGGATGGGCAGCTCGCGGTGCACAAACCTGGAGAAAGAAAAGGGAAAACACAAAAGATTTGATTAACAAAAAAAAACACAAAACACAGCGAGAAAGAAGAGAAAATCAATGAATTTTGAAAAAAAAAGCTAAGGAATGCTTTTGGATGGCGAGGGAGGGATAGGCAAAGGGACGGTACTTGCTTCACAAGGGCGGATGGGCAGCTCACAGAGCTCAAACCTGGAGAAAGAAAAGGGAAAACACAAAAGATTTGATTATTTTAATGCATTAACTTTGACCATTGAGTAAGGGGGTGGAGGGGGGGTTTGGTGCCGCAGCAGGGCAAGCCTGACGAGGTGCAGGGGAAAAGGGAGGTTTTACTTGGCCTGGCGGAGCAGGTAGGAGGAGTCTTTGATAACCTTGAATCGCAGTCGCCGTCACTGGTTGAGCCATGAATGAGGAATTGTGGGGGAGGGAGGTGGTTGCCACAAGGCAGAACGAATGAGGTGGGGGGAGCAAGGGTTACCTGGCCTGGCGGAACAGATACGAGGGGTCTTTGAGAACCTGCTCGCCGAACTGCATCATGTGCTGCATCGTCGTCGCCATGCGTAAGGGGGAAAGGGGGAGAGGGGGGAAGAGGGAAGGAGGGGTTGTTTGGAGAGGGGAGGAGTGTTACCTGGCCTGGCGGAGGAGATAGGAGGGGTCTTTGAGAACCTGCTCGCCGAACTGCATCACGTGCTGCATTGTCGTCGCCGTCAGCGCTGCCATTGGCTGAGCCTTGACAACGGGCTTGGGGATGGGAAGGGGGGGGGAGGGGGGGGGGGGTTGGTTGCCTCGAGGGGGTGTTACCTGGCCTGGCGGAGCAGGTAGGAGGGGTCTTTGAGAACCTGCTCGCCGAACTGCATCATGTGCTGCATCGTCGTCGCCGTCATCGGCAGCGCCGCGTATTTCTCCACCGTCACGTCGTAGAACGACGCTTTGTTCTGCGACCAGCCGCCTGGACCGCGAGGGTACGGCAGCGAGAAACGCCGAATTCCAGAAGCCGCTGCTGCTGCTGGCCTTGGTGCGGCTGCTGCCGGTACTCCCAAGGCTTGAGGTTGTTGGTACTGTCGAGATTGATGGTGGTATTGTCGGTACTGCTGTTGCTGATACTGACTGTTTTGATGGTACTTAAGATGCCGACCCAACCCAGAGAACTGCTGTGTTTCGATCAAGCTCTTGATCACGGAATCAGCGGCAGCCGAGAACGACCGAGTAGGCGGACTCGCGTCGACGGATCTCGCGTCAAGAACTTCCCGCATCGTCAACCCTACTGGCTCATGCGTTGGCCTCTTGGACGGTGGTGTTTCGACTCGGCGGGTTTCGCCTCTCGACTCGCGGTTCGCGGGTCCAATTTCGCTAAGTATTTCCGAAACGTGAGTGGCCATGCCAGCTGCAATTATATCACGCGACGGCGCCGATAGCGCTGGTCTCTGATCATAATCAGCGATTGTTCTAGGACCCCTCACTTTTCGTTGGTCGTCCCGTGCTGTTGTCGCGGAGATCGAGAAAGCAGGAGATGCTACGTTGGTGAGTGCGTGAGAAAGCAGCGGGTAAGCGAGGCATCTCAGAATGTCAATAACAGGCTTCGACGCGAGTGGTAGCGAGCTCCGCGGAAGAGTGTGCAATGCCATGGCACGAGGTTACATAAATCAACTATGTCTGGTCGTCACTAAAACTCTACCTATGCCAGGATCCAGCTTCTCGGTAGTCGTGGGCTCGTGAGGATGGTCACAAACGAAAATCTCTCATTGCGAGCCAAATGGCCAGTCCATTCGAAAATGGTCGTCGACAGCAATCCTGCGGTAAATCTGTCATTACCCAGTGTTCTAAGTTCTCATTGAATCCTGTGCGGGACGGTCTGCACGCAGACACCTCACGCGGAGCTTTCTGTGAACTAGAAGAGATTCGGTCCGTGTTGGACTAATTTTGCCGCCCTTGAGAATTGCTTTGCTTCACCATCGAGAATTGCTGTTGTCATGAAATTTGGTGGTTGGTGCTTTGTCCCAGGCTTAGGCTGCCCGGGCCAGGCCTGGGGACAGCATAACGAGGTTCGACCGCGATGCCATTTGTGCGGATATTTTTTGCTGTCAGTGGTTTGGCGGGAAAGCTGGTTCACCGACTCCGTGGACATTGCTCCGTTCTTGGCGATCTTGGGTTGGTTGCTTAGGGCGCGTCCCCTCCCTCGATCGATCGCGCGATCGCTGTGAAAAACCGATCGGGCACACCGATCGCAGGATTGGGGCGGGATTGGTAGGAGGTGACAACAGCGGATCGATCTCGAGCCCAGGGTGACAGGATCGAGAAAACTGGGGGCAAAAAACCATCGACCCTACTAAAGATGAGATCGGTGTTGGCACGAGGGCACATCGATCGTCATCAGCAGAGGTGACAAGATCGTTAGGCACCAGTTATGTAGTTTCGCAAGCTCTCTCGTAATCCGGTTACCTTGTCAATTGCGACACTGTAGCTGTCCCTCGATCGATCGAGGGCAGGATCGATCGAGGGAGGGGACGCGCCCTTAGCTTGCGGTAGAATTACGTGTCGCAGTCTGGGGTAAAAGTTCCGAGCTTTTGCCTTCCCACGTCAATGGTAGGAAGCTGCCTGTCCTGGGATGTTGCTGACGTGTTCCGCGGCTGCAACGCAATTGTTTTGTAGACATAAAGATTAGAATGGTTGCAGGTGTGCCAAACACTATTTATTTAAGTGGAGTAATCAATATCGATGAAATTGACAGCTCTTTGCCAGCTTGCCTAGTTCGGAAGAAAATGGTGGGTGCAGGTTAGGGATCATCTCGCCCAATCACAAGCCGTTCGTAAGACAGCCGAGCGTGTAAATGAAGCTCGGATTCATGTTTGGCAACCGTTTTGACGTGTACAACCAAACCACTTCAAAGGTTTGGAGACAAAGATTGTCGTTAGTCTGCCAACATGAGGGCTCAGTTGACAAAGTACTGTACACCGCCCCCAACACCCCACACTTCCCGCAACCTAGCATCCGAGAAGAACCAGATGGTTCGAAGGGCAGCCGGGCTCTCTGCGGAGCAGTAGGTCTCCCCCTGTTGAGGTAGACACGACCAGTATCGCTCAACGGAATGAGGGACCAGCATCGCTCAGCCTTGCCCCCTTGCGCTCCGCCAGGCGCGCACACCAGCCCTATACTGTACCGTACGGCACTGGCGCTTGGAGAGTGTCCCGCGCGCTTCCCCTGACCAACCCCGCTGGCCCGACAACAGCAGTGGCCAGCCACCCGCTCACCTCGCCTCACCTCACCTCACCTCACCTCGTCAACTCTTGCAGTCGAGGGTCTGCTGATGGCTGGTTGGTGAGGTCGCGCCTCTAAGTTGTTTCTGAGTTTGGCTTCAAAGCGGTTGGGTAAAGTTACAGAAAGGCTTATTTGAGTGATAAAACGATTGGGTACGATTAAGGTGAAAGTAACTTTTGGACACCCCTCAATGCCGAGGGTGAGGATTCAGGAAGGATTTGGATGTTCGCCCATATCCGCTAACTTGGATGTTCCAGTAGGTGCTTTGGTTTCGCGGCTAGAGAGGAAGTAGCAGACTCGTTAGCTCAAGTTTTGGTAGTTTTGAAGTCTCGTTGGTGGACGCGTTTAGCGTGGTTAATCGTTAGGTTAGACCGCATTCCATGCATTTCAGTGACCTTCATTTAGGCCGATACCATCACAGTTATCCACATAAAGTTTCATTTTCCGCTAATCTTGGTCGCATAATATAGTAGGCTCGAGCTTTCTGTTGCATTACATTCCCCCGTGTTAGCTACATATGACATTGATAGTTGGTACCCGACATTTTCCTCAATGCGGGATTCCTGGCCGACATAGTTTCCTCGCCGTCGCGCCGAATGTCGCCCTTTCGAAGTCCTGCATGAGACGGCAATAGCCAGGTAAGCTCTTCGCGCTTTGATTCCTTTTCTTCAGAAGTACATCAGACCAGCTAAACTAACTAAACTCGACCGTGGCGGAATCAATGTCCTGCTGATAAACTCCGCATCCCATGTCCACCGTTGATGGTCTCAATTAACACTGAAGCTTATTAATCTATACGTGGGTTAACGTCTGAAAGAGTCTTGTATATTGTATACGAATCGCGGCATTGAAAATAATAAATATATATATATATTTATATTTATATTTATATATATATATATATTTGTTTGTGAACCTGCACTTCATATAGCGTGTCAATTCATCTCCAAAATGTGTGAAAGCCATTTTTTTCACAAGACAAATTCGAGATTGAGGTACATTACAAGTCATCACCATTTGACAGAACGAATCTTTGCCTTTCTGTTCTAGTGACGGCTTCTTTCATTGCTGTCTTTTGACAAATTCCCGGACCCCCTTTATCACCCTGATTTCCCTTATCTTTTCTACCTGCAGACGTCCACTTTCGCCTTAATCTACGCCGTCTTCCTTCTTACGACTGAACCCACGCGAGCTCCCTATTTATGCCAATGGGGAGCTCAATAGCTGGGTGGAACCTATCCTCTACACGTTCGACGTCCGCGTTACAATTATCATCGACACAAGAACAGAATAGAACGCATCACTTTCATCGAAAGCCAGCTACAGCAATGGCGTCAGCGCATGTGATGCTGGTGGTTCTGTGGGTCGTGACGTGCCTAGCGACAGTCGCTTTCATCCCTGCAGCACTCGCTGCAAGCCCTGACAGTGAGTCCTGTTTTCCATGTATACGTACGTAGGGACGTGACAGCGTTTGTTGAAGCGCCCGAAAAAAAACCTTTCCTGCTGTACTCGCTATAAGCAACGGCATCAGTTACTGCTTTCGTGCAGCGGAAGAGCTGTTGAACCTGAAGGCGGCGTTCATGGTGTCAAATCCCACGGCACTGCAGACAACATTGACCCGTGCAGTGTCCCAACCCCTACACCCCCTCTCCCTGTCCATTTCCCCCCAAATGGTTCTTCCCGCCTCACTCCCCTCCCCGATACCCCCTCCTCCCCCCTCTCTCTCGTGCAGCGGAGGAGCTGTTGAACCTCAAGGCGGCGTTCATGGTGTCAAATCCCGAGGCGTTGCAGTCCTTCCCAGATGACATCGACCCGTGCAGTGCGGAGTGGCAGGAGAGGATTAAATGCAACGAGCATGGCCGGATTATAGACCTGTGAGCACGCTGGGTTGAGGGAAGGGGGGGGGGGGGGGGGGGGGGTGAAGGGAGAAGGTGAGCGATTAAGTGCAGCCATTCTAAGACGATTGCGGAGTCGTAGGAGGGAACTAAGCGCAACGGGCATGGCCGAATTATAGAGCTGTGAGCACGGAGCACGTTGGGTTGAGGTCCTCAACTTGAGGGGGATCCTCCTCCTCAATTCTTCTGTCACTCCTGCCCTGTGCTCCCCAAGGCCCCCGTATGAGGCGCCTCAAAAACATGGCGAGGTGCTTTGGAAATTATGCAAGTGCAGATAGGCTTTGCGGTTGTCCTCCTGCTCACTTGTCCCATTATTCCCATGCCGCCCCAATGCCCCCCAACGCTCCCCAACGCCCCCTAATCCTTCTGCCTCGTCTCCCAGCTACCCACCCTCTTCTGCAAGCAACCCCCCTTCTCTCCCCCTGAACATTTCCTCCCTCTTTAACCACCCTCCTCCCTCCCCCCTTCTCTCGCACGTTTCCCCCTGCTTCCATCCAGCTAATGAGCTGCTGAATTGGGCCAATCCGAGGGGGACAGCTGGTGCAATTGAATTCCCATCCTTCCGTCCAGCGTGCTCCCTAATGCAACGGCCCCAAAATCGTTCCCCATTGCCCTGATTCTCTCCTATGTTACGATCTCTTCTGCTCCCACCTGTCTTCAATGCGCTCCCCTTTCCGCTGCCCATTTCCCACCTCCAGTAATCTCGCCAACGAGCTACTCAAAGGGCCAATCCCAGGGCGACAGCTGGCGCAGCTGGATGCTCTAGAGCGCCTGTGAGAACTGGGTTTGAAGCTTTGGGTTCTGAGGGAACAGGCAAGGTTGAGATTAGGGTTTGGGGTTGAGATGCTGGAGATCGAGACTTGGCACGTTGAGCTTCATTTAGTCAGGGCCTTGTGGCACGTTCGTTGGGCTTACGCTGGGGGTACTGTACATTTGTGTGGGCGTTGAGGCTTTGGCTGGAGGCTGCTTAAAGCCCTGAGACTTGACTTCGATGCACTGCCTGGTGGGGCTGCGAGTTAGGGTTTGGGGCCGGGGTTTTGGGTTTTAGGGGGACAGGCAGGTTGTCTTTAGTATCATGGGGGGTGCCTGTCTTGTGTTGCTTCGCCTTCAAACATGCTTGGAAACAAAACATGCTTTGGAGATTGCAGTGCAGGAAATGCAGGGTGCGTTGGGAAATCTCAAATTAGGGTTTGGTATACCCGAAAACCTGTCCCTCCCGACCCTCTCCTTGTCCCACTGCAGCAATCTGGGGTACAACTCTCTGACCGGCCCAATTCCCAAGGAACTCGGTGCTCTCAACGGCCTCACTTTCCTGTTAGTCCCATCCCATCCACTCATGAAAGTGCCTTCTTTAAAGCCCCCCAGCTCCCTTCCCTACCTTGCTAGCAACTCTCATTAAGGCGCCCCTTTCCAGGCTATAGCTTTGCCCTCTTAGTAGGTGCAATGCAAGTTGAACGTTTGTTGCACACTATTGTCACGCTTCTTATCAGTCACAGCTGTTGTCACCAAGGTAAGCCGAGACTGTGCATACACGTACACACATACATGTGATTGGGCTTGCATCTGTTCGTGTGCATCCCCATGTGTGTGTGTATGTGTGTGAAAGTGTGTCTCTGTCTGTGTGCATGTGCGACCCTGTGTGTGTACATGTCTGATCTGCATGTGTGCATCTTGATGCGTCTCTTTCTGGTGATCAGGTCATTTGAGGCGAATCAGCTGGAGGGGCCTATCCCGGACTGGATGGCGCCACTGCTTCCAAATCTCGTTGAAATGTAAGTGCTTCTGCTGCCAGTGCGTGGTGTCTGTGCGTGGGTGTCTGTGCGTGGGTGTCTGTGTGGGTGCTGCTGCCTTCGTGTGTGGACTAGTTTTGGGGCATCTCAAAAGCCTATCCCGGGCTGGATGGCTCTGCTGCTCTCCAGACTCGTTGAAATGTGGGTGCTGCTGCTGCCTCTGTGTGTGCTGCTGCCTCTGTGTGTGCTGCTGCCTCTGTGTGTGCTGCTGCCTCTCTGTATGTGCTGCTCAACATTCTACTCGTCTCCCGCCCTCCCCTTCTCCCTCCAGTCCCTTCGCCAACAACCAGTTCAACGACTCTCTGCCTAGAAGCATCGGCACTCTCAAGAGTCAACTCAAAACTAGTACAGTTGACTCAAAGTTCTGCTCGTCTCTCCCTCCTTCCCCCTCCCCCCCCACCCCTCCAGTCGCTTTGCCAACAACCAGTTCAACGACTCTCTGCCTAAAAGCATCGGCACTCTCAAGAACCTAACCACACTGTAAGGCTCCCCTACTTTCAGCTCTCAGTAGCCACGTCACCCTGTTCCCTCTCGTACCCATATAATCTCTCCTCCCCACCCCTGCCATCCAGGGACATGGGCAGCAACAAGTTATCGGGCTGGCTACCACCGCAACCAGGCCCCTTCTTCCCAACTCAAACCCATTTCCCGCTCCTCTCCCCTTTTTTCTCCTTTCCCCCTCCAGGGACATGGGCAGCAACAAGTTATCCGGCTGGCTACCACCGCAGCTAGCCTACTGCAGTAACCTCAAACTCATGTACGCTTATTCACTAATTAAGAACCTTCACTCATTCCTTTTCTTCTCTTTCCGTTGTTCAGAGTAAACTTGAATCCCCGACTCTAACCTTCCTTCCACGCTCCTATCTCCCTTACCTTACCTCCTCTTTTTCCCTCCCAACCACGTCACCCTTCTCTCCCTCTACTTTCACTCGCCCTCCTTGCTCCTTGCAGCTCCTTTCCAGCCAATCAGCTGTCAAGTCCCATTCCTGAATGGGTGGGGTGGGGAACCTCAAGCAGCTTAAAGCGATACGTGAGGACTCAGATTGCACCTCCTCCTTCTCTCCCGTCCTTACACTCCCCCTCTTTCCTCCGTGCAGCTCTTTTCCAGCCAATCAGCTGTCAGGTCCCATTCCCGAGTGGTTGGGCAACCTCAAGCAGCTTGAAGTCCTGTAAGTGCTGTTACTTAGCACAGTTAAATGCTGGTACGTAGCACTTGAAATTGTGGTACTTCGCAAAGGGCATTCTATTAATCTGTGCATGTGCTGCAGCGCCTGTACTTGCTCTCTTCCTGCCGTCCTACTATCTGCTGTTCCATGAAATGCCACGCTTGTCCCACTGTGCCTCTGTGTCCTGTCACGGAAAATAATGTAGGAGCAGTATATTCCGTACATTGCTAATGAGGTGTAGCGAGGTGTAGAATGTGTTATGCAATTTGGGCTGTGGAGTTGGGACGTTGGGGACAGCGCGAAGCTGGCAACACTGGAAGTTGCGGATCATAGCTGAGAAGAATACAAGGACCTCGGGAAACAGGAAATCGGCAAGGGCCAATCCAGCACCCAGGCGACTCGATCACTACTCAGTTCACAGAATACATCACGACAGTAGGAGCATGCTTAAAGCTCAAGGCCCAAATTGCGGGCCGCGCTGGGCAAGATTACTAATCTTGCTGAGCGGCTGTTTGGGTGCTGTGAGCTGGCGAATTTTGGGTTACACTAGGTACGAATGAATCTGATTGGTCGAGACCAAAGTCACCGCGCAAACTTCATGTTTCAGTATTTCTCAATTTGGGACTATGGGACCCAAACAGAATGTTTGGCCCAGAGTTTGCTGACTCAGCAAGTTTTGCGAGAGCTTGACGAAAAAAGCGAACCCCACTTTCTGTTCACCTCCCAAACCACCAGCCCAAACCCTTGCGCAAGATTACTAATCATGCGCAATTTGGGCCTTGAGCTTTAAGTAGCCTAGCCTAGCATCAGTACTCTTGTTCTCTCGTTTGTTTGTCTCATATAGTGGTCTAGTGTTACCGTTCTAAAGCTACCTAAGCTAGGTGACTGCGCCACTGTGGGCAACCAGCGTGTGGGAGCCGGATCTCGGGTATGGGCTGAGGCAGCGAAGGGAAAATATCACAGTAACAGGGCAGAGAGAAGATGGGAGGGAGGATGAGTGCTGAGAAGAGAGGGCAGGCCATGGGAGGCAACAGAAGAGGGATTTCCGACAGTCCCTGTGTCTCTCCCCACCTGTCCTCCTCCTGTGCCCCTACACCCAAAACCCTTACTGCTAAACCCCTGTGCAGGGAAATGTACACCAACGTTTTCTCAGGGCCCTTGTAGCAGGCCCCACACCCCCGCAGCTGACTCGTTGAAATCCTACTTCTCTCCCACAACGCCACATCATCATCATCATCCCATGAATGCCCCCGTGCCCTTTCCCCTCCCTGTGCCCCCATGCAGGGAAATGTACACCAACGCGCTCTCAGGCCCCATCCCTACCCAGTTGGCTCTTGCAGAATCCCTTCACTCCATGTAAGCTCTATGTCTCTCACTTCCTTGTCCATCCAGTACACTCTGTCTGCACTGCACTGCACTGCACTGCACTGCACTGCACTGCACTGCACTGCACTGCACTGCACCCACGCCTCTATTGTACTTTATTTGAGACCTCTCCAAAGTCCCCACGCAGCAGGCCCTACAGAGTCGCTTCACTCCTTGTGCGCTTCACCCAGATTCTCTCTCCATACTCGCATCTCTGGTATGCTACAAGGGCCTGCTCCCTCCCCCTCCCACTCCTCCTCCTCCTCGCCTTGTATCAATCCCCCTAATTTTCCTCGCCGCTGTCCACACTTTTTCTCTTGGTATCCCCAGCCGCCTTTGCGAGGTGACTTTTGAGTCGACTCAAAAGTCTCCTCGCCTTGTATAAATCCCCCTAATTTCCCTCGCCGCTGTCCACACTTTTTCTCTTGATATCCCCATCCGCCTTTGTTCTCTCTCACCCGTCTGCCTCCCACCCCTCCGCCACCTCCCTTCCACCTTCCCCCTTGGCCCCTATTTTCTCCCTCTCCCTCAGTGCCATGGACGATAATCAGCTCACAGGGCTGCTCCCTCCCGAACCACCTTTGAGGCACCTGAAAATAACCTGCAGAATGGATTCCTGAACCCCCCCCCTCTTTCCCTCCCCCCCATCCTTTCCCCCTCCCCCGTCAGTGCCATGGACGACAATCAGCTCTCAGGGCTGCTCCCTCCCGAGCTAGGCGACCTACCCAATCTATCCGCCATGTAAGAATCCGTTCAGCGCTGTGTTGAATGAATTGAATGCTCCCTACACACATGCGAATCCATCTCCGCTCTGTGTGTGTCTGATTCTCCTTGTGTTTGTCTTTCCCAGTCGTGGTTTCTCACATCCCATCCCTGTTTGTTTTCCTCTCCTGCAGACCTATGACCATGTCATTTTTACCCTCTGTTCCTCCCCCTCTCTTCTCCCTCTTCCCCCATCCAACATGCCCTCTTCCCTATGCCCTCTCCCCCTAGCAGCATGCCCTCTTCCCTATGCCCTCTCCCCCTAGCAGCTATGTGGCGAGCAACAAGCTGGAGGGATCGGAGGGACCCATACCAGACTCATGCAGCAAGCTCAAAACCCTTCCTCATGTCCTCCCTTCCCCCCATCCCTCATGCCTCCCATCCATGGCAGCTATGTGGCGAACAACAAGCTAGAGGGCCCCATACCGGATGCCTACAGCAAGCTCGAATCGCTCATGTACCTGTATGTGCTGCTCTGCTTTCTCCCTATTGCTGTTCTGCACTGAGATTTTAGCATCCACTCACTCACATTCCCGTGTGAGCCGATGTGCTGTGCACTAGAGGGCCCCATACCAGACTGATACTAGACATGGGCATTTGGCCCCGACCCGACCCGCCTTTTTGGCTGGGTCGGGTCAGGTATGGTGAGAAGGTCGACCCACCCGGGTCGGGTCGGGCCTACCCGGACGGGTTGGGTCGATTCATGACCCGTCAGTGTAATTTTTTCACTGTTAGCAGTGACCCGTCGGGTCGGGTTGACCCGACCCGTCCAGGTCGCGTTCCGTGTTTAGGGTCAGGTATACCCAATTCGTCCTGTGCAATATTCAGGGTACTCTAGGGAACATCAGTTTAAATGTTGTTTTTTGTAGCTCGACTTCCACTTCCAGGCTCTAAATTTAGTTGAACGCTTACCTACCTACCTTCTCTTTAACTCTCATTCATTCACTTTAGGGTTAATACTCTACCTTCTTCTCATACGTAGATCTAAAAATCCACCACAGTTTGTAAGGCATACATACTGCACCCGCCACGGGTAATGACGCTGCATCTGTGAGCGCGATAGTGTAGGAAACGTCAGCGACATGTACCAAATCACGCCACGGGCTTTCGCTCGTGCCACTGCTCACCAAATCACGCGCATAGCCGCTAACGTGCGCAGCCCATTTAGCATAGGTGCGCGCGCCTCTTCGCAACGTCGCGCGTCCAGGGGCGCAACAGCGCGAGCGCGAACCCGCAGCATCGCGATCGCCACCAGACAGAGTTGCGGTCGCAACCAACTGCAGCGCGAACGCCAGCATCAGCAGTGGAGATCGCCATAAACCCTAAATATATCATACCCTGCCCTTACCCGACCCGACCCGACCCACCCTATAACCGACCCAGGGACGGGTCACAGATACCCGTGTACCTCAGACGGGTCGGGTCACATAATTAGGGCCAAACTTGACCCGCCGACCCGACCCGACCCGACCCGTGACAGTCACGGGTCACCCCAAACGGGAAGGGACGGGTCGGGTCAGGTCAAATGCCCATGTCTAACTCATACAGCAAAGCTTGAATCTCTCATGTACCTGTCCATGCTGCTCTCTCCCTTCCTCTTGCTGCTGTGCACTTAGCAAGGGCACCCTCGGTGCATTCTGCCATGCGTTTGAATGAATCACCCCCTCACATACCTGCGAGTGCTTCAAGGCTGTTACAGCCATTCCGCCTATGTTTACCAGCCCACCACGTACAGCAACCTCCATCACTCATGTACGCGTGCACTTACATGAGTGATCGACCGTGTACTACCACGTACAGCCGAGGACTTAAATCTCCCTCTCCCTCTCTCCCTCTCTCGTCCTCCTCCCCTCCTCCCTTGTGCCTGCAGGGACGTGAGCTACAAGGAGGCTATCATTTCCCCACCTTATCCCATGCGTCCTTCCTCCTTCCCCCTCGCAACCAGTCGCTTCCCTTCTCTCGCCCGCCTTCCCTCCTCCCTTGTGCTTGCAGGGATATGATCTACAATGAGGTTATCATCTCCCCCCCCCACCTCCACCCTCCTTCCCCCTCTTAACCAAACCCTCTCCCTCCTCCCTCCGTCTCTCGTCCTCCTCCCCTCCCCCATTGTGCCTGCAGGGACGTGAGCCACAACGAGGGTATCATCTCTCTTCCTTATACCCCGCCTCCGCCTTCCCCTCTCACCCAACTCATCTCCCCCTCTTATCCGCCTTCCCTCCCTCCCCCCTCCTTTGTGCCTGCAGGGATGTGAGCTACAACGAGGGTATCATCTCTCTTCCTTATACCCCGCCTCCGCCTTCTCCTCTCACCCAACTCATCTCCCCCTCTTATCCGCCTTCCCTCCCTCTCCCCTCCATTGTGCCTGCAGGGATGTGAGCTACAACGAGGGTATAAACGGCACCATCCCAGAGTTTCTAGGGAAAATGTCACGCATCCAGTCAATGTGAGTCAATGCAGGGCAGTCAATGTGAGTCAGTGGAAGTCAACATGAGTCAATGCAGTCAATGCGAGTCAAATGTTTGTTAATGCAGTCAATGTGAGTCTCCTCTCATCCCTCCCCAACTCCCTCCCTCCTCTCCTCTCACCCACAGAGCTTCAAGTACTGCAATCTCTCCAGCCCCATTCCCGCCAACGCCAACCTGGGCAAGGCAATCTGAGCAACATAGTCGAGATCTTCCTCGACAACAACCAGCTCACAGGGGACATCGCTTCCTCTCTCCCTCCCTTCCTCCCTCCCTAACCCTGTCATCCCCCCCCAACCACTACCCACAGAGCCTTTGAGTACTGTGACTTAAAGCCAGGGTCTCAAGTAAGCTAAGGAGCTGTCAACTGCTTTGCAGTTGAAGCTAGGTTACCTAGTTATTGCAGACGAAGTTCTTTCTGGTTGGGTTGGAAAATCAGCTTGCGACACACCCCGTCAGTGCCCCAGAAGCGATTGCACAACACTTTTGGGTACTTGAGACTTTCGATGAGTTGGGGGCATTTTAGGTTTGGTTCCGAACCAAGTTAACAAGCCTAGAAGGTTCGGATACACCCAACGATTTGCGTTCGCTTCGCACCCCTCGCTTCTCCCCACTTCAAACCTTTCACCTCGCCAACCAATCACAGCCCAACTTTCAACAGCAACTGCAAAACACTCGTAGTACTTGAGACCCTGGCTTTAACCGGCCTCATCCCGGCCAACCTGGGCGAGCTGCAGAACATAGTCGAGATCTTTCTGGACAACAACCAGCTCACGGGGGACATCCCTTCCCTTCTCTTCCCATCCCTTCCCCTCCTCCCTCCCTCTCTTGCTCCCCTCTCTCACCTCCCCTCGTTCCCTCCCCTCCGTCCCTCCATCTCTTCCTCCGTCTCCCCTCCCTCCCCTCCCTCCCACCCCACCCTCCCTCCCCACTACCCACAGAGCCTTTGAGTACTGTGACTTAACCGGCCCAATACCAGCCAACCTGGGCGAGCTGCAGAACATAGTCGAGATTTTTCTGGACAACAACCAGCTCACGGGGGACATCCCGCCGTCCCTGGGGCAGCTCGTGACGCTCAACAAGCTCTTCCTCAACCACAACATGCTCTCGGGCGCCATTCCTGTGGAGCTGTGCCAGCTGACCAATATTTATGATCTGAACCTGGCACGGAATCAGCTCCAGGGGAGCATCCCAGCTTGTTTGACAGAGCTGCCGCACCTAGCCACACTGTGAGTGGAATGGAAGCACTCCCGCTATGAGTGAAGATCCTTGTTGCCATGCAGTCCCTGGGGCAGCTCGTGACGCTCAACAGCTCTTCCTCAACCACAACATGCTCTCGGGCTCCATTCCTACAGAGCTTTGTCAACTTACCTGATCTGAATCTGGCCCGGAACCAGCTCCAGGGGACTATTCCCCCGTGTCTCACACAGCTTCCCCACCTAGCCACACTGTGAGTGCATCCCTCCCTGGTACCATGCGTCCCCAACCCCACGGAGCTCTGCCAGCTCTCGGGGGACATCCCTCCCTCTCTGGGCTGGGCCAGCTGGTAACCCTCAGCAACCCTCCCTGGTAACCCTCAGCAACCCTCCCTGGTAACCCTCAGCAACCCTCCCTGGTAACCCTCAGCAACCCTCCCTGGTAACCCTCAGCAACCCTCCCTGGTAACCCTCAGCAACCCTCCCTGGTAACCCTCAGCAACCTTCCCTGGTAACCCTCAGCAACCTTCCCTGGTAACCCTCAGCAACCCTCCCTGGTAACCCTCAGCAACCCTCCCTGGTAACCCTCAGCAACCCTGATAAAACCCCCTGCATCTGCCCCCCCTTCTCCCCCTTTCTCTGCCTTTGTCCCCTTCCCTACCTTTGTTCCCCTTTCTTTCCCCCCGATCACAGAACCTTGTCTATGAACCTGCTTACCAGCCCCATACCGGATGTCTCCACCACCAACGCTGTGAAATTTGAGTACAACGGCAACTGCCTTGACAACGTGCCTCTCTCCCTCCCTGCCCTTTCCCTCACCACAGGACCCTCTCCATGAACCTGCTTACCGGCCCAGTCCCAGACATCAGCAGCACCAACGCTGTGAAATTTGAGTACAACGGCAACTGCCTTGACAACGTGCCGGACCAACAGGACGTCTGCGCTGCTCCCACCACCACTCCTCCCTCCACAGACGGGACCCCCCCGCCCACGGACGGAACTTCTCCTCCCACGGACGGAACCCCCACTGATGGGACCACTGCGAATCCCCCCACTGCTGACGGCACTACTACTGACGGAAGCAGCACCGACGGCAGTGTTACAGATACCACCACTGATGCTGCTTCCCAGCAGTCGCCTCCTCCAGCTGGCGCTGCTGCTGTGTCAGTCTTTGCTCCTCCCCCACCGCCCCCTGCTAGCCAAGGTGCAGTGCGATCAACTCCTCTCCTCCCATTCATAGCAGCAGGAACAGTGGTAGCAGAATTGACTGTAGTAGCAAGCAGCGATGCTGCTTCCGGGGTATCTCCTCCTCCTGCTAAAACTTCTTCCTTGGTCTCTCCCTCCTGCTCCTCCCTCGCCTCCTCCTGGTAGCCAGGGTGCATTGAGCCAAGCAGTCTGCATCTCACCCTAACTCCTCCCATCTCCCCCCTCCTCCTGCTTCTCCCATACTGCCACACCCTCTCCCCCTCCCTCCACGTATTCGCTCCCAGGCTCTACCCCAGCAGCAGCGTATGTGCTGCTGGGATTTTTTGTCATCTTCTTCAGCGTCCTCCTTATAGTGGCCTTCATTTGCAACGTAAGGAGCTCTGGAAGCTCCTCCTCCAATCGCCCAGACCAATGTACGTCCCCCTTTCTCCCTCTCCCCCATCTCCCCCACATCCCCTGCCCTTCTTCCCTCCTTCCTCTCTCCCCCTTCTCTTCTCCCTCCTCCTCTCCCTCCTCTCCCTCTTCTTCCCCCTCTCTCTCTCTCTCTCTCCCTCTCTCTCCCTCATCACTCCAGGATCAACGCCAGTGCCCGGCATAATCACAATTGCAGTCTTCACGACTGCCCTAATCGCCCTCATCGCTGCTGCCTTCTACCTCAGCCACCGCCAAGGGAACTCTGACGGCGGTAACCGCGCCGACCAGTGTATGTAGACTGGGCCTTGCTATCCCCCGCATCGCATGGCTCTCTAAACTCTGAAAGTCTCACTGACTCGAGAGACCACTCACTGCTCTGATCGCTCTCATCGCTGTGGCCTACTACCTCAGCTACCGCCAGACGCACCCTGACGGTGGTAACCGCGCCGACCAGTGTATGTGGCATGGGCCTTGTTTATTGGGACTTGAGACAGAGTGTGATCTGAGAAGCCACTTGTCTCTCCACCCTCACTGCTCTGATCGCTCTCATCGCTGCTGCCTTCTACCACAGCTACCGCCAGACACACCCTGACGGTGGTAACCGCGCCGACCAGTGTAGGTGGGTGGATCGGGCCTTGTATTCCCCCGCGTGATTCTCTAAACTCTGAAAGTCTGACTGACTCGAGAGACCCCTCACTGCTCTCATTGCCCTCGTCGCTGCTGCCCATTACCTCAACTCAACTACTGCCAAGGGAACTCTGACGGCTCTAACCGCGCCGACCAGTGTAGGTGGAGTGGACTGTACCTTGTTTCCCTGCTTGTTGAAACGTATAAATCTGATATAAGGGCCTCGTTTCTCTCGCTGCTCTCCTTGCTCCCACTGCTGCTGCCTACTAGGAACACCCCAGGAACACTCTTTCACGGTTTCTCACAATGCAGTGCCAGTGACAGAGTACAGCCTGTCAAAGATCAACAAGGCAACGCGCAACTTCACCACCATCTACGGCCGGGGCTGCTTCCCAGCCGCCCTTGGCAGTTCAGCTCACACACCTGGATTGTCCCTTTGCCTCGCCTTTCCTCCCCCTTTCCACCCAAACCATGCAGTGCCAGTGACAGAGTACAGCTTATCCAAGATCAAGAAGGCAACGCGAAACTTCACCACCATCTACGGCCGGGGCAGCTTTGGCATGGTGTATCTTGCAGAGGACTTTTTCCGGGATCAGTCTGACCCACGTGCCATCATCAAACGAGCCCACGACCCGCAGAGTGAGTCTCGTCTTGCCTGCATGGTGTATGGTTTATAAAGGGGCACACATAGCTCTTATTGTCATCCAACACCGGGGCAGCTTTGGCATGGTGTATCTGGCAGAGGACTTTTTCCGCGACCAGTCTGAACCGCGCCATCATCAAGCGAGCACACGACCCACAGAGTGAGTGCGGTGTGGCGCACCTCACTCTGTGGGTCGTATGCATGCATGCATTGCATTGCATTGCTATGCCACCTGCCTACATGAGACACGCAGCCAGCCAGCCAGCCAGCCAAGGGGTTGGCAGCTTTGGCATGGTGTACCTTGCAGAGGACTTTTTCCGCGACCAATCTGACCCACGTGCCATCATCAAGCGAGCCCATGACCGGCAGAGTGAGCCCATCACATGCATCACATGCATGCATGTGATGTTAAGTGGAGGTGCTGGCGAGAGCATACCCCCGCTACCTGGTGAACCTACTGGGGTACCGCACTGAACCCATCTGACCTTCCTGCCCTGCATACCCTCCTTTTTCTTCCGGAAACTCCTTTGCTTTCCTCTGCAGAGCTGGGCGAGTTCCTGTTCAAGTGCAAGGTGGAGGTGCTGGCAAGGGCACGGCACCGCTACCTGGTGAACCTGCTGGGGCACCGCACTGAACCCATGTGGCCTCCTTTCCACCTTTCACTACTTCCCACATCTCTCCCTGCAATGCAGAGTTGGGTGAATTCCTATTCAAGTGCAAGGTGGAGGTGTTGGCGAGGGCACGGCACCGCTACCTGGTGAACCTGCTGGGGCACCGCACTGAACCCATGTGGCCTCCTTTCCACCTTTCACTACTTCCCACATCTCTCCCTGCAATGCAGAGCTGGGTGAATTCCTATTCAAGTGCAAGGTGGAGGTGTTGGCGAGGGCACGGCACCGCTACCTGGTGAACCTGCTGGGGTACTGCGTGGGCAAGGGAGAGCGCATCCTCGTTTATGAGTACCTCTCTAACGGCACACTCTTCGACCGCCTGCACAGTGAGTAACTCTGTGTTCAAGAATGATTGTTTTTTTTCCCTGTATTTTTAGGGCTTTGTATTTTTGTAGATGGACTTTTCACACCAGACGTATTCCGTTCCCTCCCCCATACTTCCTCCCACTCCCAACCCTCCAGGGCCGGAGCTGGAATCTCTTCCCTGGGAAACGCGTGTGAGCACAGCAGTGGTGTGTGCCTTGGAGTGTCCTCAGTGCACCGTTCTCAACTCCTCTCTCTCCCCATTCAAACCTCCACCCACCAGGGCCGGAGCTGGAACCGCTTCCCTGGGAGACGCGAGTGAGCATCGCAGTGAACATAGCGTGTGCCTTGGAGTATCTGCACCACGGCGTGTCTCCCCCACTGGTGCACCGCGCTGTGACCTCCTCCAACATCCTGCTCGCCCACGACATGAGCGCCAAGGTACGTGAACTCTGGTACAATGCAAAGTGCATGGGCTACCGTGTCTTGGCGTCACTCTAGTGCCTTGGAGTATCTGCACCATGGTGTGTCGCCTCCTCTCGTGCACCGCGCTGTGACCTCCTCCAACATCCTCCACGCCCACGACATGAGCGCCAAGGTAGGAAAATGTTTCTGATGTTGCTCTGAACGCCAGGGAGAGCTAGGAGAGCTAGGAGTGAGGGTTTGCAAGTCGCGGAGGGCAGAGAGCCGGGGATTTTTTCTTTAATCACACCTTCCTCCCCACGCGCTCTCCCTTTCTTTGTCCCTCTCTCCAGCTCTCCGATTTTGGAATAGCAAGAGGCAGCGGCGGCGCCACCTCTTCCTTTGAGGAGAATCCAAGGCGGCAGCGCAAGTCACGGGCGGGGAGGGCGGAGCGGGGAGAGGCGAGTGAGACGAGCATGCAGATGGAGAAGGTGGACGTGTATGGCTTCGGAGTGGTGCTGCTGGAGCTGATCACGGGGCAGAAGGCCATGAAGGAGGTCCACATCACCAGTGTGGTGAGTCACATGGCCTGCCCTCATGGTTCCATCGGGAGGTCGCCCTGATGATGCCCCAACTCGCTTCCATTCCTCTCACCATGCCTACCTCTCTGCGTTCTGCCCACTGTCTGCCTCCCCCTTCAGGCCACCCCCTTCCTGGCGCCCAAATGTTGCCTCTCATGGTGAATCCCTAGTAGTAAGTCCCAACTCGCTTCTTTTCCTCTCACCTTGCTTCCTCCCCACGGCCTCCCTCCTGCCTCAGGCCGCCCCTTTCCTGGAGGACGCGCAGATGATGCCTCTCATGGTGGACCCACAACTGGGCGGCTACTTCAACCAATCAGAGCTCATCGAGCTCGGCACCATCGCGCGCGACTGCGTGCAAGAAGACGCGTCCAGCCGCCCGACGATGCGCGAGGTGCTCCAAACCATGGAGGACCGACTCCGTCTCGACGCACACCTCTTTGACAATCTAAACGAGGATGATGCGTTGCTGGTAGACGGGTACTCTGCTGCTGTTCCCGCCGCTGTGACTGCCAGTGGGAGGCGGTCGGGGGTTGGGTTTGGGAGCCTGAGGCTGAGTGTGGGGGGAGGAGCGACGAGTTCCGGGAGGCGCGGGGAGAGTGGGCGGTGGGGGGCGTCAGTGGAGAGTTTTGCGCAGTCGATTAAGTATGTGCTGATGAGTCCGGGGCGGGCGGGGAGTGGGAGGGGCGGCGCGGGTGGATTGCCGGTTGATGACCCCCATGACCTGGAGATGTCTTCTTTGCTGGTCATGAATGCTGCTGATGCACGGCGATAGTGGCGAGGGGTATAGAAGGGAGGAAAGTAAGGAGGAGGGAGGAGGAAGGAGGCGGGGGGCCGCAGGAGTGAGGGCATCAGTGGGTTGCCGGTTGATGATCCCCACGACCCCCACGACCTCGAGATGTCTTCTCTTCTTGTGATGAATGCTGGCAATGCACGGCGATAAGAGGGATTCCAGGCGGGCAAAGGAGAGGGGAACAGGAAGGGATGTGGAGGCGCAAGGGATGGGGCGGGTGGGTTGCCGGGGGGTGATGCGCATGACCTGGAGATGCCGTTTCTTCTTGTGATGGTGGCAAGATGAATATCGGGGGAGGTAAAGACGCCAGTGCGAGGGAGCAGAAGGGCAGGAGGAAGGAAGGAGCAGGAGTATGGGCTGGCAGGAGTATGGGCAGGCAGGAGTATGGGCAGGCAGGATTGGGTTGTCTGGAGTTGATTCCCCATGACCTCAAGATGTCGTCTCTTCTTGTGATGAGTGCAGCTGATGCAAGGAGATAGAGGCGAGTGGAATCAAGGATCAAGGAGATAGAGGCGAGTGGAAAGAAGGGGAGCAGGATTAGGGGCAGTGCTCGGCGGCCTTCGTTTCTGCTGGGGTGCTTAGGAATAATTTTGATGGCCTAGTAGAAACGGTTACTGCTGCAGCATCTCAGGAGTGCTGCTGGGGTGCAGCATCTCAGGAGTGCTGCTGGGGTGCAGCATCTCAGGAGTGCTGCTGGGGTGCAGCATCTCAGCAAATTCCTGGGGTGCTGAAACGGTTACAGCTGCAGCTTCTTAGAAGGAGCGGGAGCAGCTCTGTGTTTGCTGAGAATGATCCTCCCTAAGAGGTGGAGTGGAGACGCCTTGCCTTGAGGCGCCTCAGATATAAGTTGTGATGTACCCCATGAAATGACCTTCCCATCCCTCCGCTCCCCCCTTGGAATGGAGATGCCTGCTATTTGCGCACCTCAGAAATATGCTCTGCTCTCTCCTGTGTGACGTGTCCCTGGGGGCCCATGGCTTTGGGTGGGAATGGGTGGGCGGCGGCCCCCTTCGGTGGCGAAGGCTTCGACGCAACTAGGGGATGGAGGCGAGTGCGTTTGAAAGATTATGGGTCGTCATGGTGACATCTCAGGATCAAGAGGAGGGTAGCTTTGCAAGTGAGCACGGCACATGTTATCAGAGAGAAAGAGCTTGCGTGATACTGTATCAACTTAGTTATACCACTGACCAGGAGCGCACAGCAGCCAGGCCTGAATGGTGTAGGAATAAGCAGCTGTGAAGCATATTGCTGGCATAATTAGTTTTGACGAATTATGTTATGGATGGTAGGGTGCTAACTATGGCGTGGTACAAAAGTTGGACGTTTTACTCGTATCAGATTCACCTGGAAAGAATTAACTAAAATAGTTGAAGCATGCTACTTTGACACATCAGAAATAATTTTCTTGGCTTTCTTTTGATTGATCAGATGGACAGGCAGCAGCAGCAGCTTGTAACTTCATTTGTTTACTTCATCATGCGTTTGCAAGCAAGCCTGTCCTTGCCCTTCCTATCTCCTGGGGCATTTTAAACTGTGCATGATGGGATGGTATGGGAACATGGGAGTCACAGGCGCCATCTGCATCACCAAGTAAATGGAGTGAGCTGTGTCTTGTTTCTTCACCGGACTCACTCTCACTCCCTTATTCGCGAATTCAGATGTGATGAGGGGGCGGTGGGGGGGAGGGGAGGTGGGGGGGAGAGAGAGATGAGGGAGAGGGGAACATGGGAGTCACAGGCGTCATCTGCATCACCAAGTCCACATAGTGAGCTCTGTCTTGTTGCTTCACCGGACTCACTCTCACTCCCTCATTCATAAATTCAGAGGTGCCTCTGAAACATCTGTGCGTGTTGGGAGGGAGTCATGGTTACATGAGCGAGCTCTACTTACCATATTGAGCGAGTTTTACTTACCGTATTGCATCCCTGAGCTCACCCCCTGATTCATATCCATGCCATGGCATTCCAGTACGGTATGTTATATAATGGTGGGAGCACATGAGGGGGAAGTGGGGGAACGGAGAGGGGAGGGCGGGGGGAGAGGGATGGTTACGGAGATGAAGGGGGGAGGGGGTGAAGGAGATGAGAGTGAGTAGGGGAAAAGAGAGGGGAGGGGGGGGGGGAGGAGAGGGATGGTTAGGACGGAGATGAAGGGGGATGGGGGAAGGGGGCGCGCTTGGAGGGGAGGGGACGGAGTGACGAGGGTTGAGTGGGGGGTGGGTGAAGAGGGGGAAAACGAGGGGTGAGGGGAGGGGAGATGAGGGGTGGGTGGACAGGGGGGGAGCAAGTGCGCGCGGGGAGATACGCTGAGAACGCAGGGAAATGAGGACGGAGCGGGGGGAGGGAGAGGAGAGAGAGGGGGGGGGGGGGGGAGAGGGGGAAGGGGAAGGAGGGGTCGAGCGGGGGAGAGGGGGGGGATGGAGATGAGGAAAGAGCAGGGGATGAGCTTGGTGGATGAGCTTGGGGGGTGAGAAATGTGACGCTTTCTAGGGAAGTTGAGGGGAGGAAGGGGGCGAAAGCGCGGGGGAGGGAAAGGGGGAAAAAAAAAGGGGAAAGAGGCCACTCCTCCAGGTTTTCTATCGACCGTTTCCAGCAACGGCAAACGGCAACGACGGTAAAGCCGCTTTCACGATAAGAATCGTCTGATTCCGTTTTGCTGATATTTGATGCCTTTTCGTGTTACTCTTAGTGCAGCGAGAGGAGCTTGGAGTTACAACAGCAGCAAGGAGGGACACCAAGACGGGACGCTTATTCATGGCAAGCTGTCTTTGCTTTCACCCCGCTGTTAGGTTTTTAAGATTACTAATCTCCGTTTTAGTTGTCGTCTGTGGTGCAGGAAATCAAGTCTCGAGGGAGGCTGCACGTATCGGGCGTGGAGCGGGGAGAAGCCGGAAGCGAGGAGCTGGAGCGCGGAGCTGGAGAGCAGCCCCACATCGTCGAGTGAGTGGTTTCGAAGTTGTGCAGGTGGGTACAGATCGATAGGAGCGTGTTATCCAGGTCGATTAGGCACATGCACGGGCGATGGGTTGGGTTCAGGTGCGCTGGTATGGTGTATGGTGTCAGGTATGCCAAGGTATGCCTCTCCATCTTGACGGCTGGCCGTCATCCTGACAACATTCTGACGACAAACGGGAATCGTCCGAGGTGTTTACAGTATTCATCTGCCCGTCCCTAGATTTGACCATTTCCCCCCCCTCCCAAACAGGCCCCACGCGAATGACCCTCACCTCATCGTGGTGGGTGGGTGTACGTCAGGGGCATTTTCCTCTGACGGCCAAAAGGGGTCAAGTGGAGGCTCTACACTAGGAGCTTAGGGAGGTTAGAAAGCTTAGCAAGTCTCTCGGTTCTGTCTGTATCTCTTTATTTAATGGATAGTTTTTATGCTCTTCAACACTTGTATTGGTAAGAACGTTTAAAACTCAAGGCCCAAATTGCGGATCGCGCAGGGCATGATTAGTAATCTTGATGCCTTGCTGATAGGAAACTTGTGAACCAGCACGGGACAACTTGGGACTTCCGAAACCAAACAAGACGACCCCTCCCCTTCAAAGTGTAGCGAGGGGTTGGGCGACAGTGTAACAACCCTCGCTCAACACCCCCGCCCACCTTTATGAGTACCTCCCCCACCCCTTCAAAGTGTAAAGATTTGGGCCTTGAGCTTTAATCTTACGGTAACAGGAAAACACCCCTGACATCTCGGAGAGGGTATTGGCCTTAAACAAATGCCCGACTAGTGCAGTTTGTACCAAAAATAAAGGGGGTACCCCCCGGGCGGCTCGAAGTTCAACTAAATGAACCCCCACTCACCCCTGCCTCAACTCGGTCTTTCTTAGCCAAAGCTCATAAGAATTAGGTCAGACCAGGGAACAGTCACTAGTTTCCCCTTGAGAAAAAAGGCGGTCTTAAGGGAGAAAAGGTCGCGCAGTTGGTAACGTCAGGAAGCAAGACGGCGGAATAAGCTGCGCAGGTCGTCAAGTGGTGACTCTAAAACGAGGATGGGGAATCTCGTGCTAGATCCGCAGATTCGCGACTGGGTGCTGGTGCCGCTGACGGTCGTGATGATCCTGATCGGCGTTCTGCGACACTTCGTCGCGAAGCTCATGCGGTCTGATGCGAAAATCGACGTGAAGGCTATCAAGGAGGGGTTAGTATCGCGCGACTGTACTATACTGAACTGTACTGCACTGTAGTGTACTGTATTGCACCGTACTGTATTGCACCGTCTTGTATTGTACTGTTATAAGCTCATGCGTCTGCGCTGTATTGTGTTGGAATTGACTGGACTGTACGGAGATGTCAGCCGTTTTTTAAGAGCGCGTTCGATTCAGTTTGTGCGGTCGCAGCTCGTGATCCGCGCGCGGAATCTTAAAAAAAGCAGGACGCTTCATTCTATTTGCCTTTCCGCCCAAACACGCCTTCCCCACCTCCCCTCTCCCCCCCCTTCCTCCCACTTTCCACCCCCCAATCGCTCACCCGCCAAACCCCCGCCGCCCTCCCCTTACCCCCTCTCCTCTTTCCCCGAGCTCCTCCACCAGGCAGCTCGTGATTCGCGCGCGGAACGTGAGGGGAGCGGGTGGCTTTTATCCCCTCTTCCCCTTCCCCAAGCACAACCCTCCCTCCACCCACCCACCCTCTCCTCTTCCCCTAACTCCTCCGCCAGGCAGCTTGTGATCCGCGCGCGGAACCTGAGGGGAGCAGGAGGCTTCATCCCCTCCCGCAGTTTCGCACAGCGGCGACACCTGTTTTGCAACGAGGTGTGACTGTATGGGTGGTGTGACTGTATGGATGTTGTAAGTCGACTTGGAAGTCATTGGAGGGGAGCGGGAGGCTTCATCCCCTCACGCAGCGCAGCTTCGCACAGCAGCGCCACCTGTTCTGCAACGAGGTGTGATTGTATGGGTGTAACTATGGGTGTGTCTATCTATGTGTGTGATTGTATGGGTGTGACTATGGGTGTGACTGTATGGGGGCAACTGTATGGGG